AAAACCTTGGCATAGAATGTTGGAAATGCGGTGTTGTCAAGCGAACCAATGATGCAATGTTGCAGAATTTGTGGCGATCCTGACCGTCACCGGCTTCCGATCATTCACAAAAGAAGGGCTGAGTCCTGCGGGGTCTGCGATTCAAATAAACAGATTTTATTGAAATATTTGTTTTAAGTGTACCTTTCCTACACAAACTAAATTACTCAAATTAAGTAGTTTAACAAAACAGGTACATGGTGTCCTATTTTCAAGCAACTACTTTCAATAAAACGAGTTCCAGAAAATACAACTTAATTTAACCGAATAATTTATATAGTTACGAGTAATTGAATAATTTATTACGGTTATTGAAAATTTTTCAGAATAACTGATAATTGAACACATTTTCTCAGTGTTGCTAATTTGACCCATTCAAAAAATGAGTAAGAGGGGGCTTTCGGGAAAGCATTATTATATTTTGTCGAAACGGAATATTTGGTCCATCCTGTATCTTCGTAGCAACTTGCCGTGTGTTCCATCAGAACGAAAACTGCGCATAACGCACTGAATTCTCCGTTGCATTATGGATACGTTACGTATCATCTCTCGCTTTCTCATTTCTGTTCATATTATTTACACTATCAGTTTCAGTAAATTGTAAAATTCATGTCAAGCGTATCCAGTTACATAAAATATCAGATGAAAAACTCTCGATGCACATCATTTCGTTCTTCAGTGTTAACGCGATATTTTTACTGGATAAACATTGGGATATTTTGATTCATTCAGATTATACTATACTTGCATTAGATCATTCTCTTAGAAAAAGGTCCTTATTCACAAAAGCAATACTTTCGTGACATCTTTAACAAACCGATATAAAATATTATTTATAAGTGGAATAAAAAACTTCAAAGAACTAAGCCCTAACCAGAAGTGTGAAACTTCAGTTTCCGAACTTCAAACGATTTCTGAGAAAAACATTATCTAGTATAAAAAGTACGTTGAATTGCTCTATTATATACCTATTGTCTCTATAATATCGGGATCTATGCAGCACAAAATAATTTAGTTATACTCCTTGATTAGTAATAGTACAAAAATGAACGATTTTCATATACGAAAATTGTATGCATTTCATTAGAATGTTGATCTCCTTGCAAACGAGAAATCTGCAACGCAAGAGCCATTAATCTATTTCGATGACAAAAATGCCCAGGGTCATTATTTGATAGCTTTACATTATAGGCAATATACTCTATTCATGTTCTTCAAAACACTATTGAATTTAGGTTTTCTTGGCACGATATTAGGTAGAGATAGAATTTTATTCGTATTCCGATTACTGTATTTTGTTTTTACAAACACTCTCATTTCCATCATTTTTTTGCTTGTGACCAGAAGAAAGTTATAATTATAATTTTTCATGAGTTAAATGTTGGGAAAAGGGTGTAAAGCTTTGTGATTTCTCGTATTGTGATTTTAATAAATTACAGCAATTTTGAACTGAGTCTTATTTCAAAATTAATATTTCATAGTAATAGGGTCGAAAGTACAACTAAAAATAACAAAAAAAAATCCTATGAATATGGGTTCAAAGATGCTCCCCTACAGAGATAGAGGGTGATAAAGTTTTATTCACGAAATCTTTAAAAAAATATGCCTACTGAGTGGAAGAAGATACCGAGTTAAGATTTCAAACATTCCACCATATAGGCAGCAGCGGTGGCCGCAGTGGTAGACTCTTCGGTCTCCTGATCAGTCGCCGTGCGCTTTGCGGGTTCGAATCCAGTTCCAAGAGAAATTTTTCTCTTGGCTATGGATGTTGTGATTGTCCGTAGGTGGTAGATGGTCTCTGACTTTCGAACACGGAGGTACCACCCGGCGGAGCCAGAATGTGTGCATGTTGCATGCATACGTGTTCCCTCGCCAGAGTCCGTGTGGCGTCCCCCCTTTCCCCTGTATCCCCCTATAGTCCCACGGTACCCAATGGGTGTTTAGGCCTTCGTGGTAGTTGGAGTATAAAAAAAAATCAGTGAGCACATCATAAGCAATAAACAGACATAGTTACCCGGCAAAAACTAAACCAGGGACGTAGAAACTAGGGTACCTAGGCCCCTAGTAGGAAGTATTTCTACGACACTGAGATTATCTGAGGAAAGAAGCGCATTTTATAAAATTCCATTAAATTTTCCATAAATAGTTATATTCAGGTCTGGATATTTGAGGTGAAATTCTAAAATATTCTTATGAAAATTTTTAGCCTCCCTTGTTCTGAAAACACCGTGAAGCTTGATATTGGAAACACTATAATATATATATACACGTGAAGAAAGCTATGGCATCTCATTACAACATTAATTGAATCATATGTGTGTCTTATCCTCGGTCAATAGCGTAGCATTAAACATTTTCTGTGTATGCCACTGGTATTGCCGGTATATTCACTTTTGTTGATAGATAAAGAAACTTCAAAACAAAGAAAACGTTTATTTCAAAAACTAATAAATGAAGCTAATGAGAATTGAACACGACAACAATAAACATTACATTTGATACAACTCACGTCATTATTTCTAAATTTATGAAGGCATAACACTGGGAACAAAAAAATGATGCTTGATAAATGCTAAACCTAAAGGAGCTGTTGAAAGTTACTACCTCTGGATTCAACACAAGCCCGTGCTCTGCGCCACAAAGACTATCTGACTCTTTGGGATAGTACGAACAGTCTTGAATTTGTGATATCCTCTTTGTTGAGCTCACTTAAACCGAAATGCTAAATAGTTTTGAGAAGAACAGGCCGATTATTTCTGTAGTATAATAATAATTTTACTCCAAATGATTTGTTTTACAATTACTAGTTGTGATTTTAGACCAACAGAAGGATCTAAATGGATCACACCAGGAGAAGTATACCATGAAAACCAGTGGCGTGCATAGATAGGGTTTAATGAATGGTTCGCTTCTACACCACTGATTGAGGATAAGACACGCATATTAATCAATTATGTTGTCACGAGGAGCCATATCTTTTTTCACATGCTACATAGTCTTTCCAATATCAAGCTTCACGGTGTTTTCATAATAAAGAATATTTTAAGTTTTTACCTCAAATTTTCAAACCTAAATATCTCCAAGACGAGTGATTTCCTTAAGAGACAAAATATTTGGAAAAATTCAATGATATTTTGTAAAACGCACTTTCCGGCATAGAAAATATTTCCTACTACACGTACAGGTACCCCGATTTCTACGTCCTTGGCTTAGTGAAGATGTGCTTACTCTCTTTACTCGGTCCCGGCTAGATATAATTTTTAATTTCGTAAATAAAACTTATTTAGGAACTTTTTTTTGTTATTTTTGGGTGTAATCTCTGCCCTAGAAATATTGGCACGTCTTTCTGATGTACAGGTATACATAGAGTTTAACGGGTTACCGGTGTTGTCATTTGCTGAAACACCATTCTAGTCATACATGCTACATGTATACCTGTACTTGTCTCTTCTGTTTACAGAATAATAATGAGTCCTGTGTATGATAGTATTTCCCATTCGGTGGTATAACGTACCTAGTATCTGTATAACTTTTTAGTACGATTCTAGTGTGTGACAAGTATGCTATTCGGGCTTCAAATGCCACTCAATCATAGAATCATCGGAATTACATTTGAATAATAATAGGCATATATCTTGTGCAGCAGCGTATCTCGTTTCTGTTCCCGGTATTTTAAGGGTAAAAACATCATCACTGAGACCACTCGACTTAACTAGAGGTTGTAAATTTCACTAATAACCAGGATGGCATTTAGATCATGTGCTAAACAAATTGTCACTTTAATATAGATGCATTGCAATTATGGTAATGCACTTGAACGGTGAAGTGCGTGGCGAGCTAATCTACTTTGCTAAGTTTTGCTCTCAGACAATAATAGTGGGGAAGCAAAGCCTGGCGAGTAGGTTACCTTTGGCGCTTTTTGCCTGTTCCAAACTCTTGTAAGGCCCTACTTATCATACATACATACTCAGACAGACAGACCGTTGGAAATAGTGTGACATCCAACATCCAAAAAAATAATATCTCAATTTAGAAATATTTCGCGATTACAATACTTCGTCGCCAGTAGGCATGGGATGTAAAAAGTAGCGATAATGGATGAAATTCCGTAGTTAATACTTAACAATTGGCCACGGAAACAGAACTTGGCCTAGGCTACCTTTACTCTAATCGACATTACTTCTTTACGGCAAAATTGTAGAGGTTCTGTATCATCCGCTGTGTTGTTATTGAAATATTTAAAAGTTGAAGTTTGGATCATACTAAAGAGGGTTAGAACTTACTTTTATCTGATATAATAGAAACTTGTCATTATTCTTCTGTTGTACGGATTACTATTCTTATCTTCATTTTTGTATGTTATATTATTCAGAGAGATTTTTAATAAAATTCCGCACTTTGCCCAAATTGGGATTAGTAGTGTTTGGGGACCTTGAAGTACTGCTATATAAAATCTAGAATCAGTTCTTTTCCAACTTTTACAAACTATCGAGGAATATCTCATATACTGCCAAATTACGACAGGTGGCCGAAGACTGCCTTTTCTTTTGAATGGCCTTAAAATGACCATTAGATGCCTTTCTATGGACATACTGATCTCTGATTAGGACTTCACAGCCGCACACACCTATGTGACACGCGCCTCTTGTTTCGAATGCTGGACAGGTTTTAAATGTATCCTTGATAAAACCTTCAAATGTCCTTATAGTGACTAATTGACCGGTTCGGTCTCAGCTCCTAGAAAAATATAAATGATGTGTAGTTGGGCTCAACTGCTTCTCTTATTTTTTAAGTGTATTTGATATGACCTCTGGAAGTCTTTTTAAAATGCCCCCATATAGACAACTAATCCGGGATTTAAAATCCAAAAAATCCTACTGTAGAGAGTATCATATAAATGCCGTCAATATTGCATTTTTTGTCAGCATTTCTGTATTTTGAAACACTGTTGTTATTTTCAGGTTAACGTGGCAGTTTACTATGAATCACTTTGTCCAGATTCAAGGAAATTCTTTACACAACAGTTGTACCCTTCACTGCAGGGGAATCTCTCCCACTATGTGAACTTAACTCTGGTGCCATATGGAAAAACAACGGTAAGAGATGTATAATGTATAACTGAAAGCAATATGATGATTCGTCGTCTGTCTATTATGGACGTTTTTGCATGGATCGGTAGGAATCATGAGAGAAACCTAACTGCTGATAGGATTTCTAAATTTTGCTGGACATAATCATTGATTAACATATTCACCTGTCATAACTCACTCTGATGGATGACACCATTGTGAGAAATTAGATCAATATTAATTTTTGTCATTGACAAAAGACATGGGCTGTCAGAACCCAGAAATATTGAAGAAAAAAATATTTAGATACATTTTGAGATTAATCATTTCCAAATCTACAATAATGAAAATAATATAACAAAGTCTTGTATAGCTTTGCTAAAGTTGTGTTTTCTGGAATTAATCAGTTGTGGGATGATTATAGGGCAATGAGAAAATTTATTATTCAGCTCTCCTTATAACCTCCAATGATTCATGCAGGACAAGTTAATTTTCAAAAACGAAGTAATTATCAAGTTGTGAGACAGCGTGATGGTCTCTCTCACTCTGCGTACTTTTCCCTTTCAATTATAGAATTTTTTTGCAATAATTCGAAGCATCCTGTTTATTTTAAAATTGACTTATGCATGTTTCGACATAGTGATATTATTTATGGGCAAAAATAATTGCAATAATGAGTATGAAATATCTCATTAAATGTATACTTTTTATCAGTCCAATTTTGTTTATGTTTTTAAGTAGGTATTGTTAACTTGGTATTTATAACAATAGATTATGGCTAAAAGTGCTTTGTCACAGTAAAAAATGTGCATGCAAGACATTTTTAAATAGATATGTCTCTAGAGGTGGTGTACAGTATTCCATTGGATATTAAGATATATTATTTGAAAATTATATCACTGAAGAAAAAACGTGAAAAACTATGACTATATCTACAAAGGTGTTTGAAGTGACTACTTCCAGCTGTAATGCAAGACAGCAGGACCTATTATTTCCGTCATAACCTGCCGAAATTTAGGGACATGTCTTATTGAATTCTTATTAAGTGGCATCCAGCAAATTCAGTACTTTAGCTTTAGCTCATAGTCACTGTAACTGCCAGGTCTGGTGGCCCAGAAACCAGACAAGGTGTAAACAAAGTATGGTTGTTAGTAAGTTGTAAGTTTTGGAGACGGGCAACCGAAAGCAAACAGAACAAATCATGGTCTACTGAAAAACCCTGTAAAAAGTGCTCCAGGAGGTGACTATGACCACCTAGTATGTCAAAGCTGATACGTGCGACGTGTCTCGGCATTTAGGCTTCTGACTGCGCGGCTGCTTCGGTATACAAAAAAAAAACTCCCTACGCATTCTGAAACAATTGAAACGGAAGATGTCAACCGCCATTGACGACTCATCAATCTGTTGGAGCACTAACTATTATCCGCGCTAAGTGGAGGTCAAACTGTCAGAAATAGATATGAAAAAAACAGATTTTTCATGGCTTCATCACGTGTTGAGGTCTATTGACGTGAACAGCTGACTAGCAATTGACATTTCTGTCTGTTTATAGCCTTTTGGGCACGACCTCCAACCTAACTAGCGCCATATTCTAGCTTTCCAGATTACTCACCGTTGAATCTGATTTCCTTTCCATCGTAAAACGAACATGTGCCAGAAGGCTTTCTGCGTTATCAACGTAGGGGTCGGATATCAGCTTTGGCACATGAGGCGACATTAGTCACATCCTTTTTCCTAGATTATTCCCAATGAGGCAAACTAATGTTATTCTTGAGAGTTGTTTTCGTTCTGTTGATCGACCTTTTGTGGAAATTATATTCAACTGAAATTACCTGTCTTTACAGTCTGAATTGAATCTGAACGAGCACACGTTCACTTGCCATCATGGGCCCAATGAATGTCGAGGCAACAAGATCCAGGCGTGTGCATTGCGATTGATTGACGCTGGCCAGAATACTGAAGGACTCGGATTCAACAAGATCGCCACAGGCTTCATCAACTGCCTGATGGATAAGGCTGATAGGGAAAAGGGATATTTCCCCACCATGGACTGTGCTCAGATCAACCATGTTGCCAACCTTAATACGATTGACAATTGTGTCAACCACACTGATGGTTAGTATTCGTATCTTTAAGGTAGATATTTATATTCTTTGTATAAAAAAGCTTCTTGTAAATAAAAATATCTACTCCCATGGAACGTGTCGTACAGAAAGATAAGGTCCTGATGTCAAACGGCGACTGTTCGAGAAAAAAGAGTATACCCTATTTCACGAGTATCCATCAAGGTAGAATGACAGCTGATTATCTAGTAATATCTCAAAATTCCCCATATCGGCACAGGACGCATAATTCTGACGGCTTCGACAACGTTAGGTAGTCAGAGCCGTATTTTTATTTGTTTTTTTGTACGCTACAGATTCATTTTGTACGTGCTAAAAGCTCTTTTATTTAGAAAAGTTCATTTGCATACAAAAAACAAAACGCCACAAACAAGTTTTACTAGAGTTACACCGATTCATTATTAAAGTCATGACTAATACAAAAATGTCACTTGCTGATCAGCTGTTCACCTTAGTAGACGTCAAAGCGTGATGGATACTCGTGAAATAGGGTATATATGTTCCTCGCATGGCACAAGTAGGTTCTCATTCTATGGATGCGATATGGTAAACTTATTACGTCACGAACGAAGCTGTTATAAACAATTAGAATAATCTTGGAGATCATGAAAAATACAAAGCTTCAACTTTGAAATATATATTCTGAAGCACTCCTACCGAATTTTGAAGTTGAAGTTCGAATTTGTTTTCCAACGTTTTGTACCCTCCGAATTTCGAAGTTGAAGTTCGAATTTGTTTTCCAACGTTTTGGACCCTCAATGGTTTTAATGGATCGAGATTTCAGAAACAAACTTATACTATATTAGAGCTTATAAAAAGCCCAGAGACATTTGCATTTGTTTTGCTGCACACAGGGAAAACCAAATTTGTCTAACGGCTTGAGTTCAATGTGTACGAGAGAGAAGGGTGAGAAATGTGTATCAATACACATTAGATAGAGGTAGACGGAGAAGGTCGTGCAATCTGCGGCGTTGCCAATTTGTTACACCAGAAAATGTTCGCACAAGTTTTTGCAATAGGTTAGGTTACTGTCAAGCCTAAGAAGGAGGTTTGTTCGAATATTCAATTTAATATCTTTTCATTTTGATTAGAATTATTTTTTCAATTTTGATGCGATTTAGTGTTTTATTTCAGAATTATCATTGATTTCCACCGATGGTGATAAAATCAACACATCCTGAGTTATTGTTACATTTTGCGACAGCGAGCTCTCGGAAAATGTAATAAATACCATTACGCATTAAAAATTATCACTGCCTACGTGTACGTAGGTGAAAACCGTTTCGAAGCAGGACGACACTCCTCACTCCCTATACTCGCTCATCTATGATCATGGAGGTGGAAACCTGGCCTTGGAATGTACGAGATGCGGTGTTGACAAGCGAACCAATGCTGCAATGTTGCAGAAGTTGTGGTGATCCTGACCTTTCATTTCGACCTAAGAGGGAGCGCCGTTAGAACCGATCCTAAATAGATTTGACAGAATTCACAATTCAAAAATGTGCTCGCTCAAAATAAAACCATTATTTTGGCGTAGAGAATAAACTAACACATATTTTCAATATGAGTCTGAATTCAAGGAATTGGTGTAACATATTGGCAACGAGGCAGATTGTCGCGACATCGTTGCAAGTGGCGATGAGCTTCGCTATCCAGCCGGCTTCTATCTCTTTCTAACAGATGTGTCTACACTTCTCTCTCTCTCTCTCATTGAACTCAATCCGTCAGACAAATTTGGTTCTCAGTGTATTCCGCATATAATGTTGCTACATACCGCGATATTTTTTCATACCATTTAAGTTTCTTGATTAGATTAAAAACACAAATGATGGTTCTGGGACAAAAAAAAAATATAAAAAACCAGTAAAAATCACTCATTGCCTTTATGTCACTTGATCATCATAGAAAAATCTACTCAAAGTATATTTTGTGTTGGTAACATCAATATTCCATTAAAATAAAAATTTTGAAGAATACCCTATTATGGTGCTAGATTTGAAAGATTTACAATTTCAGCTTCCAACTATCTGAGCAAATTCGGCGAGCTGACAGACAAGTTGCAGAAACCTTTGCAGTCGGTACCTACTATTGTCTTCAACAACGTATACAACAAGGAGGACAGCGACTTGGCCCAGATCAACTTTGTTAGGGCACTGTGCAAACACATCCCAGGCGACAAACCTGAATGCATCAAAAGTGGCGCTGGGATCCTTCAAATGAGCTTTGTTGTCGTCGCTGTAAGCATCATACTTTCAAAATTCTTTTCTTAAACATTCAAACTGGTGTTCATGATGTGAGAGAGAGCCACGTCACATATTCATTAGCGATATCGAATATAAGCTATGCAAAATAGTCCCATACTGAAGCCAAATTGCATGTCATAAATTTTGTAGCTAATGTGTTGCATGTTTTTTTATCTGACCTTATGGTTGGTTCCTCAGCAAAAAGCATTGAGAAACTATCTCTCTGTGTGATGTGGTACCTTTGCCAAAGTTTCAAATACCAAGCGATGTTGTTGATCCTCGTTTTTGAAACGAGAAATTTCGAGATCCTATTAGTGGTCTCTGACGTTATAATCGTGGTGATAAGATTAAATGAGCTACTGATATAGATATTTTAATGTTTAAATTCATACATACATTGCTATACAAAATTTGACAAGAGCAAGTCTAAACTTGCGAAAAAAGAATCATCACTTAAAAGATGTGTTACTGAGACGATTTATGCAGTCTTATGGTGCTAGTGATATGGCATTCATATTATAATTGCTACCAGTTTAATATTAGCGTCAGTATTTGTCATTATTGAGCATGCATTTAAGTTGAAGAAATCATCAGATCCATCAGCTACATGTTATTTGTTTTTCTGCCAGACAATTTTCAGTACTTTTATTTAGACGAAATCTAGTTTGATTGAACCGACTATTAGTGTAGATGATTAAAATGCCATTCAGAAAGTGCTACCCTTTTGTAAATACATGCATGTGATGCAGTACTACAACTCATAATTATTGTACCTGTGAAATCGTATATATAGTTTTGAGTTTATGTTCTAGAAAAAAATGTTTCACATTCATCAAAACATACATTAATTTCGATCATTCTTCATTATCAAACGTATTCTGCAACAAATAGTGTGTGAACATGATAAAGGTGCCGAATAACCATATATTTTTCTCGTGTAGATGTAAAATTTTAAACTCTATATTACGCGCGTTTAATGTACAGTCATTTTTCAACACCTTGTATGCCTTATACTTAAAATTATACTTCTATGAAATACTTACAATTTTAAATATATTTTGTGTATTGATGTTTTTGACCAATGTGATGTTTAAAAATGTATTTTGGATTTTTTTTATTCAGCGTTTAAACACTTCCAGTCCAGATCTGTTTGGATTTTACAGTTTAGTTATCAGTATATTTTTATAAATGATTTTAATATACTTATTTTTATGTTCTCCAATGTGTCTTATTGAATAAACATTATATCTGCAAGTTTAGTACATTTGGGAAGGGGTCCTTTGAAGATCGTTCTACATTATCGATACTCTGATGAAGAAATGGTCCTTCCGACCTGTTATAGATGAATATATTACAATCGGGTTGGAATGTATGTCACATGTACAGTGAACTGAACTTTGAATACGGTAGAATCCGCGCGCACCGATTTTGCCGATACAAAGACAGTCTTAACAGTGGCAGTACCTCTCTTCAGTTTTGGTAGCAAAGTATAATATTTCTGGAGCAGACTTAGGAAACGGTGGTATTTTAGAGGAGAGCTGAATAAATAAATGTGTCACAATAGAAAAACAAAACATCACCAATCGCCTTGTTGATGTTGTGTTAAATAAGTGTTGCCGGTTAATCGGACTACACCCTCTAAATCGTGTGAAGCCGCATACAGACCGAGATTCTAACGCAAGCCAAGGCACATGTGGTGACAGATTCGATGAAAGGATACTCGTCACTCGACATTAGTACTGAACTTAAATCGACGCGGACAACTCGAAACTAAATTTAGGTGTAGACGACTTGAAGTCGAGCGCATTCCAATACCTTCCAACAACATACGCCAACGTCACATGTGCTTGCATTCGTTTGCTCGGTGTTGGATGTTCAGTCTGTACGCGGCTTTAGATATAGAGGGTACAGTACTCCAAGGAGGAAGGATGGTCGAGGGATTTTCGTAAATAGCTCTGATCAGATAAAACTCGCACACATATCCTTCTCCGAGTGACGTGTTCAATAGTTCAATCTATATCCTGACCTAGAAACCTAGATGATTTTAACACCCATCTTCGACGACATCAACTACTCCCGTTAGCGATGTTTGTCAAATAAACTTGCGAGGTTAATTTGAACGGACAATATCTGCAATTCAGCCGGTGACATCGACTACTCTCGTCCAAGGTGTATGTCTAATAAGCTTCCGAAGTTAACTCCACTATACTATCTTCTTTAATTCATCCAAAGATATCGACTGTTTCCATTTGAGGTATTAGTAAATGTAATTTTACCAGACATTATCCGTTATTCCATTCGACGACATTGATTTCACTCCTGTTTAAGGTGTTTATCGAATAAAATTACGAAGTTAATTTCACCAGACTATATCACTCAATCTACTCGACGATATTGTCTGGCGAAATTAACTTCGTAAGTTATTTAACAAACACCTTGAACGAGAGCCGTCAACGTCGCTGGGCATATTAACGGAAACTGTCCAGTGAAAGTAACTTGACATTTTTATTTGGAAGACTCACAATCCGGCGAAATTTGTCTTAACGACGTTATTTATCGAACGGGAGCAGTCATCCTCGCTGGAGAATTAACGGAAATAGTCCGGTTAAATTAATTGGTAAAGTTTATTCGGAAAACCATTTCACTTCGGTTCGAGGTGTTTGCCAAATAAATTGTCAAAGTTAATTCCACTGGACTATATCCATTGATATGTCCGACGATATAGACTATTCCAGTTCTATGTGTTTACCAAATAAACTTCCGAGGTGAATTTCCGCCCGACGGCATCGACAACACTAGTTCGATAAAGGACGCCTAAGTTTGCCAGTTTTTTTTAAAGGAAACTGTCTTCAGGGGTGTTCATTTGAAAACTTCCCACCACGGATTTATCGAAAACCACTGATTAAAAGAAAAAACGCCGAGACGCGTCGAAAGACTTGTCAAGGGGGACAACTTTTAACCATAAACTACTTCACCCCCTTTCACCCTCTGTCCCCAGGGTAATCCCCTTAAAAATTTTAAATTAAAAGGGGTATCCAGTATTAGCTTGTTTGAAAGGTCCTTATTTTGACGTTTGATTTTTTTAAATCGCTCGATTTGTTTTCAAGAAAATTAGAAAAATCTTCATTTCTCTTAATTTGTTCAGATAGAAAACAAAAACACACGCGCCCCTAGACGACCTAGACGTCTGACACTTGCTTTTGTAATCTAATACTAACTAAAAGTTATAGCTATCGGAACTGAGCATTGTGATTTTTTGGTATCCTTTGGTATTCCAAACGCTGTCCCTCTTTGACATCACTTACGTTTACGAGTATCGTGACTTGTGACAGATCTAAGTCTGAGTAATATGTTAGCTATACAGATTGCACTTAAAAAGTGCTGCTCAATTGACTCATTTTGTTCGGGGTTGGTGTTGCAGCGAAGCACTGTGTTAGATGACCGCCTAAATTGGAAATAGACATTTATGAGATTTGTTTGTTGGTGCGCCGGTGGCCTGTCCAGAAAATGCGTCGATCGATGCTCAAAGTCAATGCTACACGTCCCGCATCTTTTCCCGCGTATGTGTGTATTTATGTTGCTATATTGATTTGGTTTAAATCACAGAGCTTCTTCACTACACGTGAATATGTTCAGCCCTGTATCCCTGTACTTGTTTCGTACAAACATACATCATCAAAATAATTACAATCTAACAGATATAGTTTTCTGAAAGATTTCCAACATTTTTACATGCGATCAACACCGATTAGAAAACTAAGAAAACAACAACTATACCGTAAATCTAAGTTCGACAACGAAAGTCTGAAGAATAACTGTAATAACTATATTGAATTTAAAAAAATAATTGACTATATGTATTGATATTTTCATCACCCGCTGATATAATAGAAGTGCATGATTGTGTCAGTATTTGCACCAATTACTTGATTTGTTTTGGGCAGTTCAGAGTTTTAATCCTTAAGCTTAGTACACACTAGTAGACCCCGTTGCGCAATTTGCCTATAGGCAGCCTGCAGACGGTCTTAAGACACGATCTATAGATGGTCTATAGACATCCTTCTTTGCCTCATCTAGCGTCCATACTATAACGTGAACTTTTCGGTCTCATGTTCGTTTTCGCCATCAAAGACATTGTTTTATGAGGAATGCACTGGGATATGTCTCAGGGTCCCTCAGAATGTTTTATTTTTCTTATAAGCTCAAATTTCCATTTCTGAGCATTTTCTATGGTTTTCTTTCAACTGGCATTGAGCAGATAGAACACAATGGATTTAAGGAGCAATAATAGGATAAATTCTAGAAGTTCCACTGAGGTTGAAAAATCACCAGCCAAAAATCCGCCCTTGATAGCATCCAACTATTGTAGTAGTTGTTAGATTCATCTGCGGAAAATAGTGATTTTTTAAACTCTCGTTCGCCCCTGGCAAACATAATTCCCGCTGTATAGAATGAAAGATGGCAGAATAGGGAGAAAAAAGAAACAATCTTCCAACTGATATTCATTTAATTCAACAAAATAACAAGTCATCTGAAAGTTACAAACTAAAAAATTGACAGTGTACATATTCTGGAAGCATTTGTTTTACAGTGTAGAAAAATTATCAGTTCGTCTAATTTTAGACGCCAAAGCGTTAAGACTTAAAACTTACTTTGTGAAACAGAAAAATTAATAAAAATTCACAAATATTTACAAATGGGATCCCTTACTCTATAAATATTTATACTTAATTTAGTTATTTACATTCCCAAAAAGAAAAACATGTACACATGACAGAAGAAAAATGTACAACTTAAAAAATGCGAACAAAAATTGCACTTACAGAAAAAATATTTAAAATTCAGTTACAGTGTTAGGTATAAAAATAATAAAAAACATGTACATTGGAAATGCAAAAAACTCATACGCCGGACTGCATACAAAACAAAAGATAAATAATAATGTACTTGTTATGCAATTATTTTCCTCATATATTACTAAATTTATATAGACTTAATCTGTTTACATATTATGTACATCTCCTTAATAGTCACTAAAGTGAAATATATATATGTAGTTTATGTATAGTCTCATCTAAACAATGACGATAAAAAATAACTAAACATTGGACGCTACAGTCAGACCGTTTTATATGAACTGCTTTCGATAATATGAGAGCCCATTTTGACTCACACACACACAAAAAAAATTACTCGAATTATATACCAACATAATATGGTTCAGGAGACAGACAATATCTTTCAATGTTAAGACTTTCATATTCGCCGTTACATACTCGCATAAAATTAGTCGCAGTACCTGAGAATGCCCAGCAAAACGCTGGACGAAAGCTCAGTTTTCAGATCAGATCAAGGTGCACTCTGTTATAAAATATTTTCTACACAGGCTTCCAAAACATGTAAATCCGTTGTCAAAAATGCATCATCACAGTGCGGATTCGTTAGATTCATATTTAGAATATTTGCTACCATTATTAGATCATAAAGTCATCCTATTAGTAAGATAAAGGATTCCTAGCTTTTCTCATATACAGGATATTAATATCAGTTCTGAACCAAGTATATTTATCAAAAGTCCTACATAATGACATCCTATGTATATTTAACAGACTGAATGCTGCAACAAGTACAGTTTTTCTAGTAAGTATACGGATAATATAATGATTGTATATTATAAAATAGATTCGAAACTTTGTGACATGTGGATTAAAGCACGAATTTAAATCAGATACAGTTATGTTGTGTCAAAATGCTTCAAAACGTAAATAAGAGTCCCATATTCTGAAGAACATCGATTTTCTCAACAACCTGTCATTAAATGATCTGAAGACCAAGCATTGAATTGTATATTTTCCTAATGGTCTATCACCTGAACCGTTAACAAAATCGATAATCCAATAAAAATTGTATTAAATATTGTTTACAGTTTGAAAATATATACCGCTTATAACCACATAAATTATTTAAATATACGAAATACACGCGAACAGAATATGAGGGCCCGTTTCTCATTGTACATAAACATTAAACCTATAACTAGAATATCACTTATTTACTTATATACATATATAGACGAAGCGATAGCGAGTCATCTTTTTCTAAGCTGTCAGTAGTATGCGAAAAATCATCAGACATATGATTGCAATCATCAAATTATGCAGTCAATGCAGATATCAAAGCTTCAGTCTAAAATATTTTCATATCAAGGAATAGAGGTAATTTCAAGGTTTTGAAATAACCCGTAATCAATTGTAGACTGAATATTATCTATGCCGAATGAAATGTTACGTTATGTCAAGTGTCAGACAATGCTCGAGAAAACTGTTTATACTTTGTAGCATCCCATTTCGTATATAAATATATCATAATTGTTACTTATACAGAAGCACATGTGTCCAATTCATCAGGGAGCGCTACACGATCCCACAACGCGTCCGTATTGTTAAAACGTTTTACTTAAATAATGAGTCGATTGTTGCAACGATTCGGAAGCTACGACAAGATTTCGGTCGAAATAATGTGCCCAGTGTCAACACCATTCATCAGTTGGTGTGGAAATTTGAACAAACAGGTGAAGTTAAAGACTTGCCAAGGTTCGAACTGTTCGTACTCCGGAAAATATCGAGAGAGTTCGTGAAAGTGTAGTGGAGCGCCTCGAGACGTCTACCAGACATCGTTCTCAATAACTTCGCACGTCATTATGCACTATTTTAAAAAAAGACTTGCATTTTTGCCCATATAGAATTCAGTTGACCCAAGAACTACAGCCTAGTGACCATGAAAGTCGCCGATAATACAGTCATGAAATATTGCAGCTTAACACCCAAAATAATAATTTTTACCGACAACTGATAATGAGCGACGAAGCCCACTTCGATATGAACGGATTTGTTAATAAGCAGAATTGGCGTATCTGAGCATTAGAGAACCCTCGTGCCATCCATCAACGATCACTACATCCTCTTCAAGTCACAGTTTGGTGCGGTGTTTGGTATGGAGGTGTCATAGGACTTCTTCTTTGAAGACGCTGCAGGTAATGCTCTTACTGTCACTGGCGAGCGCTACCGTGATGTGGTGCAAAACTTTCTGGCTTCTCAAATCCAACAATTTAACCAGCAAAACATGTGGTTCCACAGGACGGAGCAACTTGTCACACAGCTAGGGAAACAATGAATCTTTTGCGAACTATATTTCCGGATTTAACGGCTCCAGACTTTTTTTTATGGGGATTTTTGAAAAATAGGGTTTATGCCAACAAACCAAATACTGTAGAGCAGCTGAAGAACAATATTACGGAAGCGAATGAAAATATTCCTCCCGAAACATATCAAAAAGTGATAAAAAGAGGGCTTAGGTTTGCGCGGCTTATAGAGGCGGACATTTGTCTGATATTATTTTTCATACATAATTTTTAAGTTTCAATAAAAGATTAAGATGAAAAAATGGACGTATTTTATTTCGTTTCACAAATATTCAAGATATAAACCAATCAGTTACATATCGGCCACCCTGTATAAGGTCGTGCAATACATACGATTCTTATGAAATTATCTGTCACTTGACATAATAAGGGAGGTCATAGACGCTTTACACCATCCAATGAATTGAACAATTGTTTAACCTTGAAGGAGTTGGAGCGTGTAAACATAACAATTGCTGTCAATATTTTCAAAACAATAAATTCATGAATAAATTGCCAGATTAGAGCTTGTTCTAATTTTCCGCCAATTTCTTGAGGAATTCTAGTAAATTTGGGTTCCTTTTCCCAAATACCAACCTTCGTGATTTGGCGCGTCCACGTTTTGTGATTTGAGATTAAAATTATAATCCTTACTTCCCCTTACAGTTTAGGTTGAGGCGTTGGTTTTAATTTATGATTCAATATTTCAACAGAAAGAACAGAACAGAAATTTATTGGTAAGGTTTATCATACATAGATTATGTTTTTGTAGAAGAAGCGCGAGAAACGTAAAATACGTATGTTAGAAAGAGTGCGCAGAAAAAATTTACTAATTTTCTTACAATTTATTTGTGGATTTATTTGATTGTGCAAAGCACCTATTAGTCTTGGCTGTCAAGTGCTAAAATAGATTCGATCTATCTTTGAAGTAGTTTAGTCCTGATTGCATAAATGTGTTTTCGTGTTTTTTTCAACAACAAGTACGATAAGAAACTATTAAAACAAGGATTCGCGATGCATACTCTGGTTTGACAAGCATAACTTTGTTTATTAATTTTTTTTCACATACTAGGTGACTGTTTAGAAAAGGTGCGAGCATCACTGCGTTGCGAAAAAGTGACTCAAAAAAGTTACTTATATGTTCAAAAACAGAACATTTGCCTCCTACAGTCGAATTTTAGCCGATGTTCGAAGATCACTTCCATCCCAATAGATATTTGTTACATCAATTTTCTGCAACGTAATTCACTTTTGAACTTAAATTTCACCTAACCTATTATACGTCAATAGGTACAATTCATGGACATATGCTGCTAAAAAACCTTTTGCTTAGCTTATAGGTAAAGAACATAGTTGTCAAGAAAATGCCCCCATCCGGCACTTGCGATTGATAGATTTTAACTACAGGTGAGGGTTTTCATTACAGAGCTGTAACAAGAGGACCACAGGTGCATCTGTCAAATATGACCGATTTTAAATGAGATGATTTGATGGCGTAAAAACATTGGGCAAGTATAAATCACTAAAGCTAGTTCAATTAGTAAACCTGCAAAAATTTTTAAGTGTATCAGGATATTAAATAAAATATAATGGAGCGTATTACAGACCTTCAGTACCAAATAACCATTGGGATAGTAAACATCGTCTGATTGGTAGATTAATATACTATAGCAAACGGTTGTCTATTCTGTAACTGTTAATCCTCGTCAGATAGCGGTTCGTACTGCGCGCTAAGTAGCGGTTTGGGTTCGTTATTCCTCGAACTGGCGTCATTGGCAGTGTTGCTGGCTTCTTTATGCATATACGAGAAGAACGGCTGCGGCTGCGAGGTGGGTTGCTGCTGTTGATGCTGCTGCGACTGTTGGCCCCCTTGTTGCTGTTGGGACTGTTGTTCCCTGAAATAAACAAAAAAAATCGTTAAGAATGACAGCTTAATGTAATATCTGAAATTTATCCTGGGGTGCGTTTGTAAATCACTTGGCAATGGAATACCGCACACAGTAATGGAATGTAGATTGACAGATGAAATCTTGCTCTGGAATTTTGCGACTTTATTTTTTGAACGCCTAAATTATTACAGGGTCATGTAATGTCACTTGACAGCCGACTAATTTCTAACCACATTGTCTGCAACCATTGTAGTTATTATAAGAGACCCTAGGGGTACGAGGTTGCATTTATCATGAAAAATATATATTCTTCCAATTTCCAAAGTTTTTGATAACCAAATAAAATAAACAAACAACGATACATGAGAATGACAAGTTTCAACTCTTATTCCCAAATAATTAACGCTAAAATTTTCAAAAATCCCCATAAAAAAGTCAGGAGCCCTTAAATCCGGTGACCTTGGTGACCAGTTGACATCACCAAATCGACAAATTAAACGTCCCGGAAATATTGTTCGCAAAAGGTTCATTGTTTCCCTAGCTGTGTGACAAGATGCTCCATCATGCTGGAACCACATGTGGAGCCAGAAAGCTTTGCACCATATCACTGTAGCGCTCGGCAGTGACAGTAAGAGCATTACCTGCAGCGTCTTCAAAGAAGTAAGGTCCAATGACACCTCCATACCAAACACCGCACCAAACTGTGACTCGACGAGGATGTAGTGGTCGTTGATGGATGACACGAGGGTTCTCTAATGCTCAGATATGTTAATTCTGCTTATTAACAAATCCGTTCATATCGAAGTGGACTTCATCGCTGATTATCAGTTGTCGGTAAAAATTATTTTGGGTATTAAGCTGCAATATTGCATGACCGTATTGTCGGCGACTTTCATGGTCACTAGGCTGTAGTTCTTGGGTCAACTGAATTCTATATGGCCAAAAATTCAAGTCTTTTTTCAAAATAGTGCATAATAACGTGCGACGAATACCCAGTTCTTGAGAACGATGTCTGCTAGACGTCTCAGGGCGCTCCACTACACTTTCACGAACTCTCTCGATATTTTCCGGGGTACGAACAGTTCGAACACGGCCGACCTTGGCAAGTCTTTAACTTCACCTGTTTGTTCAAATTTCCGCACCAAGTGACGATTGGTGTTGACACTGGCCACATTATTTCGACCGAAATCTTATCGTAGCTTCCGAATCGTTGCAACAATCGACTCATTATTTAAGTAAAACTTTTCAACTATACGAACTCGTCGTGGGATCGTGTAGCGCTCCATGATGAATTGGACACGTGCTATAAACAACTACTACGGCGCCGCCTACTGAAATGCGTATATCAAAAATGGCGCGCAATTTAAATCAGTCACTTATATAATGTTATAACTACTCTGGTAAAGTTATGCTCATTTTTCAAAGCTCTTGTACACTTATTATTAAGCCAACTGGTGCACTGGAACGTTGGAATGAAAAAAGACAATTTTGGCAGACACAAATACTGCATACATAAACGTTGTCGATAACCTATAATCCACTGACTTCTTATGACTGACATAATGTTTTAAGGTTTATTGCTAAAACTATTTATCATCTGGAAAAGCGTTAGTGCAATCAAAATAAATGTTCACTTAAAAAATCATCACTCTCATGATTCCAACAAGAAACTTATTGCATGAAATAGTTAAATTATGGGATGAAACTGGCGCATTCTAATGTTGAAAAATTGAATGTAATTGTTTTCCTCAGCCTCAAAAATCGTCGATTTCTAATTTGCATGTCGTTATAAAGAACAGCTTGAGGTATATATATATATATAAAAGTAAACGTTGCATCTCATTTCCAAGCAACATTTTACTGGGGCATCGTTAGCTCAATTTCATAAGTTACAGAAGTTTAGTCTAGGTCTAGGATTACTTTTCAGTGCATTCATCACGAACCGTACCGCATCAAAATTCCGCGAAAGAAACCTACAGTCATGTACAAAAGTATGGACAGATTATTATTTCAAACATTTTTCCAGCTCGCCTCGTATACAACAATAAATTGTGCCGTTCATTTTATATGCCTGCTTAGGTATCACAAATTTTCACATGTTTACTTTTGGTGCCATAGACAATCCTACCTTGTTTGTGTTTTTTTTGTTCATGTCTTTGGCAAATGTATGGAAAGTTTTTTCATATCAGCATTGTTACATATTTAACATTAATGGATTAGTTTTGTTGTATTACTGCTATAACCAGCACCCGAGTTGAAAATCAATGTACTATAGTAAAAAATTAAGACTTAAGCTTGGGTGTCGTTTCGAAAATTATAAAAAGTTTCGGTTACTAGGAAACGTTACTAATCGGCCAAAGTCAGGTCGACCTAGAATGACTACCCCCTATGTTGATAACAACAAGATAACGACCCGAAACATTCATCCCTTTTAGTAAAAAATTATTTTTTAGAGAAAAGCGTTGATTTACTGGAATGACCTTCGCAATCCCCCGACCTCAATCCAATTGAGCACCTTTGGGAGCACGTAGAGCGGAAAATTCGGTAAAGAATTACTAATAGTGAGAATGATCTATGGGAACTTCTACAAGATGAATGGAGGAAGATTAAAGTTGATGTGTGTCGAAATCTTGTTGATTCCATGCCAAGAAGTTGTTGCTTGTTTAATTTGTATGTTTAACTTTTTTTTCTTAATAAAAATGTTCTTTCCATACTTTTGACCAAGGGTTTTCTTTATTTTATCATATATGAGGCTTGGTTTTATTTTTCGTTTTCATTTATTTAGTATGCAATTACTTATTGATTAACAAATATTAAAAGTATAACCAGTAAACAAATCTTGCCATACTTTTGTACATGACTGCATATCTTCGTGGACATTTTTTATTCAGTGATATGTTCTTCAAAAGCAATGTTTGACAATAGAATACTTGTTAACATACCTGAAATCATTCTCGTGTTTATCCTCGTCAATGACCATATTTCCAGGACTGTCCGTAGATCGGTCTTTATCCTGTGGACCACCGTGAGGACTATCTTGGGACATTTCTTTCTTATCGTCTTCTGTACGCATCACCTCTACGATGCGATTCTTCACGTAATCTAGAGGAGACATATGCTGCTGAGGTTGTTGGTACCTGAAATAACAAAACATACATTAAATTAATCCATATACAGGGTGACTTCGAAGTTGAGTCATTTATTTTAACAGTGAGTAGATCTGATCAAAAGAAATGTTTTTTTCCTTTACCATTTTTCTGGTAAAATTAAAGTAACAAAGTTATAGCCCTTTGGAAGTTTGAGTACCGCCCTGCCTATTATATGCTCGTGTTTGGCGACAACGGATATAATCCGCCTGACCGGTTCATCGCATCGGAAACAAAAAAGCGAAAGAATTTGAAACGTTTATCACGATGTTTTTCGTCAGTCGATAACGCGTAAGTGAATAGTAGTGTGTTGCGTGGTTCAAACGAAATTAAAAATGGCACATGTTTACGAAAATGCTGAACTTGTGGACATGATTCTTATTTACGGAGGGGCAGTCTTTACAAAATGCTCCCGGATGCATCACGGATTTATGCGAATCGGTTTCCCAATCGAGTGCAACCAACCCCTCGTGCCTTTGTTAATGTAGTACAAAGGGCTCGTGAATCAGGTGACTTAAGACCTCACAGGTGAGGGCATGCTGCTCCAAGACCGCACGATCAAATACAGGTCCGCACTGAAATACTTGTCGGGAGGATACTTTATTAAACAAGGTAACATTTTTTTTTTATTTTTACACACATATTTTGGTTTATCTTCCTTCTACAATCATTATCTGAAAATTAATGACTCAACTTCAAAGTCACCCTGTATATCTGAAATATGGTGGTAGTGATGTTGAGCTGCGGCTTTTTCAATTAACAGGGTGTGTTTTATCAGATTTTTTTACCCGTGTTCACAAGAAAGGGGTGGTGTAGCCATATTCGTAAAAAACGGTAATGCATCGGTAGTTAAGCCTTCTAAAGTGGTAAAAAGCGAATCTACATTCGAATATGCGCAGTCAACTATTATGGACCTAATTGGCAATAGAGTGATTGTGGCCTGTATTTATAGGTCTCCTAATTCTGATATGTCCATGTTTATAAATTATTTGGGAAGTTTTTTTAAGTGTAACTGGTATCAGTCCAGTCTTTATATGTGGTGATGTTAATGTAAGTTTTGATACAAGCAGTGATGACAGGAATGCTGCCTCATGTAAAAATTTATTCAATTGCTATGGGTTTGCGCCTCTGATTTTTGCTCACACCCGGATCCAGAATAAGTCCGGCACAGTAATAGATAATATTTTTTGTAACGCTGATCCCTTGCGTTTGAAGGCTGAGGCGATACCATGTGACCTATCTGACCACTTTTTACAACCAGCTGAAATGAGTATCGATGAGTCACAGTGTACGTTGAACCATTATATTTTTATTATACAGGATGTAAAGTTAGTAGTGGATCAACGGAAGTCAGGTGATAGAGGGCCTCAAAACATATCAAATGAACCCCTATATGTGTGGTCCGAAATTTTATAGTTCAGGAGATATTTACAATTTTGTGAGGTTCGAATTCGAATCTGCAATTTATATAGTTGACTTATTCCTATACTGGTTAAAATCAGGTCTGATGGAAGAATAAGAAATAAATAAATATAGATATAACTTCCTTGAAATACCTGTCTTAACTTCTACGGAACTACAGCCTTAAAAGTTCTTCAATCATAGTTTTTGCAAATAGAAGATCCAGATAGGGATCCGGGTAAATATTTTTGGTTTCTTAAAAAGTGTTTTTGCCTAACTTCTTTTGCTTATGTGAACGAATAAACGGTTTTAAATTATATTCAGCAAAATGGTGAAATTCGTTAAATTACTATCTAGATATGAAAAAAACTTTTTAAAATCTAAGCAAATGACATGGAATATAGGTACTCCAGTTGTTCATGCTTCATAGTTTTTGTTATGTCCAAACTTCGTCAGCTGCAATACAAACATTGGGAAATATTACTTTATTGATATATGTGACATATGGGTTGTCGTAACCCATGCTCATTGATCGACAGAATTTTGGACTACACGTTATAAAAAACTCCGCTTGATTTGGATGAAAAGGTGGCTTACCGTCTAAAATTTTGCTCTGACCAATGATTGTTTTCAGGTGAGACAGGTTCCATGTGATACTTTTGTTGAGGCTGGGCAATTCGTATAATCTGTCTTTCGTCTTGCTGTTGTGGAGTTTGAGCTCTCTTATCCTCTTTGTGCTGCTGCTGCTGTTGTTGCTGCTGTTGTTGAGCCTGCAATAGAAAAATCTACATCAGATTTTATTAAGTTAGTACTTTTATTACGTGTTTCAAAACCAAGATCTCTGAAACTTCAGACGGTGTAAATATTACAGGGTGTTTCAAATTCGACCCTCACCATTGGGATCTCACAAACGGTAAGAGATACGAAGTCGCTTATATGGGGACAAAGTTGCGTATTTAGGTAACTAACAGGATGCCGCTTAGAAAGTTTCGAAATTCAAAGTATTTTCGGGGAGAGACGGAAAAGCCGAACGTTGTGGCAATGTTAATGTGCAATTTATTCTGAAATCCCATTACGAATAAAGTCAGGAAACAATCAATACGATTTTGGGAAAATTTGATTTTTTCCATCTCTCTCCGGAAGCACTTTGAATTTCGAAACGTTCTAAGCGACATTTCATTAATTACCTAAACACGCAACTTTGCCATCATTCAAGCAACTTCGTATCCCTTGCCGTTTCCGAGATGCTAATGATCGACGAATTTGAAACACCTGGTATATTTTACTATCAAATATAGGAGTTTTTGAAGCTAAGACGACTTCCCTTAACATAACGTACAGTTTTTTGTAATTTCCTAATACACTAGAGTCACAAGAAAATAAAGTTATATCCTTTAACAACAACAATTTGATGTTAATCTATGGTGAGTATCTTCAAGATCCATGTTGCTGATGGTTAGATAGTGTATTTAGACTATTTGTAGGCACAGCAGCAGAAGTAGACAGCCCGAAATGTTGCAAACTGAGGAAGAAGCTAACAAACTTGTTTTATTGAATCGAACAACGACAACTTCGAACATCATTTATAAGCAACATAATTATGACAATCAACAGTGACTTCATTTTTTTGCTACTGTCCTATTTCGAACGCAGTTATTTCTGTCATATCTCAGGATATGCTGTGAAGATTTTTCCTAAAAATACATATATGATAAGAGATTTTTTCCATACCTGCAGCCTTCGTTTCCATTGTTCGTTCATGTTTTCCTGCAGATGATAGTAGTTGCTTTGCCTGGTACTGAAGTCGTGACTGATCACAGAATCCGTCAATTCTTTGACGGTTAGGTTCTTGTTGACAGTATCTCCATCCAGATCAACGCTGATAACCGAAGGTGGTCGATCCGAAACGTCTTGGCTTTGCTGAGGCGGTGGCTCGCCACGATGGAAGTTTTGGAAGAGGAGATCTCCCGCTCGTTGTTCCCTATAAAAACCAACTATTTAGGTGGGGATATGGGATATGAAGATAGATTATGTCACTACATACGCAAGTTCAACACGACTACTATCAACATCACAAAATTGACACGAGAAGACAAATAAATACACGTCAGGAAGTATTGTATCGTGGTAAATTATTATTTGTAGTAAAGTAAAAACGATAAAGTTTATGGAAAAGGATACTTCTACCAACGAACGTGATTATGGGAATTATTTGAGGGCTCTGTAGTTAAGTAAAAACGATAAAGTTTCTGGAAAAGGATACTTCTACCAAGGAACGTGATTATGGACTGAATGGAATTTTCGTATGGAAAATTAAACCATACCCATGGCAAAATATAACATTCTGCTTACCTTGTACTAGATATCACCTCTCTCCCTCCCTCTGTTGTCTGATTGATCTGATGGGTAATGATAGCATCGATGAGACTTGCGGCGGTTAACGTGCTAGAATCTGTCCTGGCCTGTCGAGCAGCCTGCTGTTGCTGCTGCTGCTGCTGTTGTTGTTGTTGAGCTTGATGTTGAGCAGCTTGTTGATGAAAAGCGGCCCTTCGCTGTTCCTCCAAACGTTGCTGTTGCTGTCTTAGTTGCTGGTGTTGTTGTTGGATGATTTGGTAGCGGTGTGGTTGTTCTAGGATGTTATCTGCCATAGTCTTACCTACAATAAAAAATGTTGTCAAGTAGGTTCGATCTGCACTTACCATCCAACGCCATTATCAGTACATAAAGGAAATTGCTCAGCACAGACCTCTGAGAAAAAAGCCAGTCAAGCAGTTCCGTACAATTAGTCCATAGACATTCTTTCCCTGTCCTACTCGGGCAGACGTGGCACCGTAGTAGCGCGGGCAGAACGTAGAAAACACAATGCTGTTGCGCGGTAGAAATAAGTGTGATTCCACACAAGAACACTCATCATGGTCGGCGCACGATGCCAGCAGCACCCGCGGCCGACAGGTACGCGATCCGACTCCCGAGAATATTTTTTCAAGAGGAATCTATGATGTGCAAAATATGTCTAATATGTGCGCAGAATTATCAATGTTAGGAGGTATAAGTGTATCAACATAAAAAAATTGAGACAAACTCTGCCCACCCCCCAAGTTTTTTCTTTATATTTTTTTTTTAAATGACCAGGATCCTCGTCAAAAGACGAAGTTTGAGTTGTTTTTTACCTTTTTTCATTTTAAACCTTTGTCTCTGACACAAATGGACCGATTTTCAAAAACTACAAAGCATTGGCGTCCTTAACATAGTAGTGACATTGTGTAAAGTCTTCATCTAAATCCGAGAAGTACTTCTCAAGTTATGGGCGGTTATAAGATTAGAGGACAGACCAACAGACAGACAAGCAGACCGACGGTCACGAGTGACATGGTGTTTCGTGATGTACATATATAAAATCCAAAAAACATAATATCTCGAATATTTTCGATATCACAATACACCAGTAGGCGTAGGAAGTAAAATCGATAATATTAAGAAAAATGTTTGATGTCACTTATATGTATTATTCATCTTTAATAATTCACCCATTTAAAAACGTTTACTTCGTGGTATTGAAAGGTTTTCCAATAAGGGCGGATTGATGTTGGAATGAATTAAACCAAACTGAGTGTGAGGAATTAATGAAGTTCTTTTTTTACAGAAATTGAATGGAATATGACAGGTTTGGATCTCCATCTTCGACTGATTCCACTATCTCATTTATACTTTCTATAATAAAATAAGCGTTCATTCATTCTGCAATTAATATTTTTTCTGTTACTATTCCACCTTCGAAACGCATTCTGGATAATTCATTCTTTTTAGTTGGATATACAATTTGTTTAGTGTTTTCCACACAAATTTACTGTTATTTGTATTGCTATCAATTTTGTTAATTCTGTTTTACACCTATATACTCACCTAAACCTTCGTGCGGCGCACTGGGGACAGGCAACGACGGCTGCTGAACAGCTACATCTACCAAGGTTGACATAGCCTCGTGACCAGGCTGCAGGTACTGCGGCCTGGTGTGCCGCTGTATGACGCCCTGTCGCTGTTGCTGACCCTGTTGCGGGGGCGGTGGAGGGGTGCGATGAGGCGAGTTCGCTGGGTAATACTGCGTCTTGTCCGGTCTGCGAGGGCCGCCGCCTCCGGCTAGCATTTGCTGAGAGGTGATGTAGTCGTTGATGATTATCTGACGGGAGCTCAGTTGTTGTTCTACCGTGTACGCCGGTTGTCTGGAACAAGAATAAATTCAAAATCACAGTCTAAACATTATAGTTAGACAAAATGCAAATATGCATTGTCAGGAATATTTAAGGTTTGATTCAGCACATTATACAGGGTGGCCAATATACAACTGACTGATTTAAATTGCGCGCCATTTTTAGTACACACATTTCAGAGGTGGCGCCGTATTAGTTTAAAGCACATGTGTCCAATTCATCATGGAGCGCTACACGATCCCACAACGCGTCCGTATTGTTCAAACGTTTTACTTAAATAATGAGTCAATTGCTGCAGTGTCAACACCATTCGTCAGTTGGTGGGGAAATTTGAACTGTTCGTGCTCCGGAAAATATCGAGTTCGTGAAAGTGTAGTGGAGCGCCCTGAGACGTCTACCAGACATCGTTCTCAAGAACTGGGTATTTTTCGCACGTCATTATGCACTATTTTAAAAAAAAGCGGCCAAACAAGATTCAGTTAACCCAAGAACTACAGCTTAGTGACCATGCAAGTCGACGACAATACAGTCATGAAATATTGCAGCTTAATACGCAAAATAACGATTTTTACCGACAACTGATAATGAGCGATGAAGCCCACTTTGATATGAACGAATTTGATAATAAGTAGAATAATTGTAGTATCTGGGCATTAGATAACCCCAGTTAGGAAAACAATATTTCCGGGACATTTAATTTCTCGATTTGGTGATGTCAACTGGCCACCAAAGTCACCGGATTTAACGGCTGCTGACTGTTTTACGGAGATTTTTGAAAAGTAGGGTTTATGCCAACAAACCAAATACTGTAGAGCAGCTGAAGAACAATATTACGGAAGCGATTGAAAATATGCCTCCCATACCTACCGAAAAGTGATGGAAAATGTAATCAAGAGGTCTCAGGTTTGAGGGGCCTCTAGAGGCGGACATTTGCCTGATATTATTTTTCATACATAATTTCTAAGTTTCAGTAAAAGATAAAAAAAAATTGACGTATTTTATTTCATTTCACAAATATTCAAGATTCAAACCAGTCCGCCACCCTGTATGTGTAAAATTGTCAGTTTTTGAGGGTTCAGCATACGTTTTCCGAAAAAGGCGATAAAATGAGTTTTGGTACACGCAAAAATTAAAGATCACATAAATATGCACAAACCTGTTTTCTAAAGTACTTACAACAGTGACGTTCATGGCAGCAAATCTCCATTATTAACGAAAAGACAATAAGCCACTCTAACTGACGACTTCTATTGTTTTTATATGAATGATAAGACGATACTTCCAATACTCAGGGTACATATTACAATGTACATAAACAGGCCAACTGAAGGTACCAATTTCATTTACTTTCAGCAACATATTAATTTTGTTTTGAATTACTTTGATTGGTGCTCGCCACCCCATGCGACACGTTTCAAGCAAAACCAATCGAGCTTTGAAAAAACGACGAATTTATTTTTGCCAAAATCTGTGGCCACAATTTTTCACTAAACATGAAGATCAAACACCCCGTATCACAGAAACAGAGAAGCATATCATATGTGTTTATCCCAAAAATGGCCAACCATGTCCAAAAATGTATTGTTGTAAACAAAGAAAAAAGATGATTACTTGGATATCCTATCCACCACTCAAAATTGAGTTTAATTACCTACCGAACAAAAAACGTCTATCTGTATTTCGAAACCAGTTAAGCTATTTTTTCAAAGTGTACAGTTATTTTCAAGTTTGGAAATACTGCAAAAACCCGTTACGTACAAGTCCTGAACTGTATAAAAAAATAGTGAAAAAACGTACCTGTACTGTCCGGGATACTGTAGTTGTTGTCCTTGTTGTCCCTGCTGAGGAGGCATGGGCCCCCTTTTGTTGTAATAATCATACACCCTCTTATCCTGCATGGCGTGCGGCATGTGAATGGGCGTGCCCTGCGTTATGGACCCCATTTTAGCCTCCGGTATCTGTCTTAGTAAACCTTCATATTGCCTACTCTGAGAAATAATGGGGGTACCCAGGGTTATGGATCCCGTCTTGGGATTTGCCGGTTTGGGACTAGGAAGCTTCGCCTGTTGCTGTTGTTGTGCACGAATAGAGTATGCTGGGCTTTTCCTTTCCTGCGCTTGGTACAGCTGATAAGGTTCCGAGCGGTGGATCTACCAAGAAATTATATGTTGGAAAATATATACGAAGATTGTGAACAGTTTTTTAAGGTATAATGTAATCACGTTTTTGTAAATTCAATTTCATATAATAAATGTTTAGCTAGTCATGGTAAGCAAAGCGGTAATCCAGTAGCGTTAAGATACTACAAAGGGGTATACTCGGTCACCATGTTGTTTCCAGCCGCTGAGGGATTAAAACAAAACACGACAAGACAAACTCATTTCCCGTGTGACACGATGCATGAAAAAAACCAGCAACAAAAGATAACGCCAAAAATTGCTAAACTTGTGAATATAGATGTATAAATATGCTTTATCGTCGGAAGAATACTTTCATTCTTAATAACTTAACTAAACTATAATATAATTACATAAGTGGATCTTAAGTAGGTGAATTGTAGAACTCACACAAGGTATAATATGGTTTACATATTAAAAAGTTTTCAACTTCACGGAGAATATCTTCGTTAATTCCTTTGAGAGCATCAGGGAGACACATGTAAATTTTCAGACCATTATAAATTATTGAGTATTTCACAAGTGTTGTTTAATGTACTACTAATTTGAGATCTTGTTTCCGTTGAATATTGTAACTTATATTTAATGTTTCAAATTTATATTTACTTAAAAAAATTAGAGTTGCTGTTTCTAAAATGAACAATGATACAACAGGCATTATTTTAAGATTTACAAATAAAAGCCAGCGTGTAGCTCTAGGACTGCTTTTAGTTGTATATCTTATAGTTCGTTATTATAGAAGAAGAAGCACCTTTTTTGGGAAGAAACACACCATAAGGTGTGATCTTCTATCAAATGAGGCAAAAAACTGCTTAATGTTGTGCTTTTCCCTACAATGTAACTAATTGTTTTTATAATGAAGGTTATTGCTAGTTAAGTAAGCAATTTGTCTACATGATTAGTAAAATCTAATTTATGATCAATGGCCAGTCCCAAAAATAAGATGGTGTCTGCTTTATGTATCAATTCATTATTTAAATTTGTACAATGAAGGGAGCTTTTAAATGTCATACATTTTTTCTTGTTAACATTGGAAGTCAAGTAATTGTTGTCACGCCATTTTTTGATTGATTGTATATCACTAACAATTTTTGTCCCAATTTCATTTATATCTTTGTCTAGCCAAAATACTGTAATATCGTCAGCAAAAACTATGAATTTACTATTTATGCTCAAGTTTGATAAATCGTTGATAGAGCCTAAGAATAGGATCTAACCTAATACTGATCCTTGAGGTTCCTGTGTTTATATTTAATTTATTTGAAGTATAATGTCTTGATAATTTTACAATTTGGGATCGATTATTTAAATATGTTTTAAACCAATTGATTGAAGCTCCAGTACAACCATATTTGTTTGATTTTGTTTAATTATATCATGACTGACGCAGTCGAAAGGTTTGGAAAAATCGCAAAAAAGAAATATTGAAATTTGTTTATTGTTCAATTTTGACTATAACTGTTGGAGTAATATGAAAACAGTATCTATGGTATTTTTTTTTTGTTCTTGAAATACAAATTGGCTGCCACTTATAATTTTGTTGGTTTTTAGAAAGTCCCTTAATCTAATTGGGACTATTTTTTTCTATTATATTTGCTATAACAGTAATTAAACTTATGGGTCTATAATTTTCTGGTAAATCGCTTGGACCTCCTTTATAAATAGAAATAACTATTGATGTTTTTAAAAATTCTGGGTATCACATCTGTGTTAGGAGAAATATAAGTTTTGTGAGCGTATCAAGAGCACCAAGTGAAAGATTCGCAACAACGTTTAAAAAAATTTCATCAATGCCTGAAAATTATTTGCTTTAGACCTTGCTTGATTCACCTTGACTGGTTTGACGGCTGACTTCTGCCCTCTCCATCGCCATTGCTTGGAAACAACATGGCGAACTAGTATGGCTTCCTACTATAGAGCACTCGTAGTCTAGATGTGACAACCTCTGTTGGCATTTAACATTTTTACTCTTGCCAGCCTGTGAGTTGCCGCATAAAAATTTGATATTAAATTTCATAACATATAGTGATGTGCTGCCTTTAGGATATCAAAGAACCCTCAATTCAAGTTTTAGTCGTTTTAGAGTCCAGTAATTGAGAACAATAAAACTTGAACCTTTTATGTTTACAGGTTATTGGTATTAAAGATCATCTTACCTGAGCTTGCATCTGTTGCTGCGCCTGCATCTTCGAATGTACCTGCGGAGGCGGTTCCCTAGGTTTCTTGATGCTCAAATCTAACGTTTCCGGCTCTCTACCATCCGGAACTTGTAGAATAATTAAATCATCCCTGGTGTTCTGCATGGGTTCAGGTGGCGGTTGATTCTGAATGGGCCCCGAGACCGGCGTTATCGTCGCTGGTATCAAGGGGTTCACCAGCTTGGCCAAGTTGATGTCCGATCGCTGCTGTTGCTGCCTCTGCTGTTGTTGTTGTTGGCTGTTGACCGTGTTCAAGTTATATTCGCTCACGATCGTCACTTCGTTTGAATCGTTGTTTAGGATGGACGAGATTGTCGGTGTCATACCACTTGTCGGCGGGTTCTGTACCTGTAATAATAAAAAAATCAAGGTATCTACTAGGAAAAAATGCAAAGAACCCTTCAAAACATTTTTAGGGTTCAATGAAATATAATCGGTTGCCAAATATCGCGTTAATAAATTTAACCTCCATGAGAATTTGTGATTTTAATGTAGCATTTTTCTGAAGCAATTTTAGTTTTTTAGAACCTTCGACGGTTTTAGGTTTCAAACTTTCAAAAAAGTAAACTAGTCCTCTAGAAGCGTCAAATTAGCTGTACAGGGTTTGTCCGGAAAGTAATAGGACTCATTTTGCGCGCACCGACTGGATTCGGTAGAGGGCGTTCCTAGCTAACGAATGAGCGGCTGGTCAGTTGTCTCCGAGCACTTGGAGAGTCAAGACAAGCATTTTCGCGCGACGTGTTTCTGTGAGTAGTGCAAGCCGAAAATGCAGCGTTCGTTAGAGCAGAGGTACGCGATTAAATTCTGTGTGACACTCGGTAAATCTGCGACAAAAACGTTTGATATGATCAAGCAGGCTTACCCAGGTGTTGCTTTAGCTAGGAGTGGTGTGTTTCGGTGGCACCAGGCCTTTTTGGAGGGCCTGGTGCCACTGATGAAGATCGTGCTGGAAGACCTTCGACTTCGACAAACACCGATAATATGACTCGTGTGCGCAAAGTTTTGAACTCAGACCGTCGACTAAGTATTCGTTTAATTGCCCAGATGTTAAATTTACCAAAATCTGTGGTTCATGACATTGTGACACAGCATTTGAACATGCGCAAGGTGTGCGCGAAGATGGTCCCAAAAGTGCTCACTGACGACCAGAAAATTTGAACATGTGTGAAAGTGACCCCCAATTTTTGAATAACGTAATCACAGGTGACGAGTTGTGGATCTTTGAGTATGATCCCGAGACAAAAAGGCAATCTTCCGAGTGACACACGACGCCGTCTCCTCGCCTAAAAAAGGGTGGAATGAGCAAATCCAAAGTGAAAACGATGCTCATTGTCTTTTTTGACATCAAAGGCATCGTCCACCATGAATTTGTTCCTCCTGGACAAAGCATCCACGCCAAGTTTTACGTGGAAGTGCTCAAGAGACTCAAACGAAGGGTCAGTCGGGTCCGACAAGTCATCGCAGCCGACTGGAAGTTGCACCACGACAACGCCCCGGCTCACACCGCCTTTCTTGTGAACAGCTACCTGACCAAGGCCGGCATCCCAACGCTTCCGCAGCCGCCCTACAGCCCAGATGTGTCCCCGCCAGACTTTTTTTTGTTTTCTCGCCTGAAAAGGCCGCTGAAAGGCAAGCATTTTGAGACGACAGAGGGGATCCAAGCAGCATGCACCGCGGCTCTCAAGGCTATTCCGGAGAATGCCTTCCGTGACGCCTTCAATGCTTGGAAATCGCGCTGGCAGCGCTGCATCGACGCAGAAGGAGCCTATTTTGAAAGTTTTTAAAAAATTGTAACGATTGGCTTAATAAATTTTTTTAAATCGACTCAGTCCTATTACTTTCCGGACAAACCCTGTATGCTCCCGAACAAATAGCGAAAGAAAATTTGAGAAAGAGGAGGGTCACCTTCGAGTCGAGGGGGATGTCATTTTGTCAATGTCGAGTTAGGACAGACCGAAATTGAGCCCTCCTTTCCCAAAATGACAGACCCACTTTAAAAAAAAAATATTGTTAATTCTAAATGCCAGTCCGGTCAGGTGATCTTCTGCCAAAGACATATGTTTTGAGATACTGAGAATAGAAGATGTCTCTGCTGTCGCTATATTAACTGGTACTTTAGTTAAAATGCATAAAAACTTCTTGATGTTGGAATACTTCATTATTAGTCTAATCATATGAGCAAATTTCCCCGAAATAATTGTAAAGTCTAGTTTTATTGGTGCAAGTTGTTCAATGGGGCATTTAAAACATGGACGCATAAAATGGGTACACCAATTTTTGTGGACAAAATTTTTCTTTGACAACAAAGAATGACAAAACGTGTTTTTGGCATTCAATCGAAAGTGTTGACGGGAACGAAAAAACTTTTGATATAATATTTTTAGGTATTATTCATGAGATCTACAAAATGAGACCACGATAATTTTACGCAACTACTTGAAATTCTCCAAATCTTAGGATTCATACTTCTGAATAACAACAACAAAATTATAGTATTATATTGGCCAAGTAGTTTTTTGAGAATTTCTAATTGTTTATCCAAAAACACCTGTTTTCCGGCCATCACTACTAGTTTATTGAGCAATATACAGGGCTCGTTCAAACAGCATTTAATATATGAATCACAAACTATTCTGAAAGATAAATGTTATTTTTATGCGAAAAACAAAGGTTACGTTTTTTTTTCTAAACAAATTCAAACACTTCGTATTTGTGAGTAATTCAACAAATGCGCTACGATATTCGAAAAAAATACATTACTATACAGATTTTAAAATAAAGCGGATGTGTATATCATCTTTTGTTGCGAACTACTCACAAATACGAAATATTTGAATTTGTTTAGAAGCAAAAATGTAATCCATCCTTTTTGCATAAAAATAACACTTATCTTCTGGAATAATTTGCGATTCATATCGGCTCTAGTGCTCAATAAACTAGTAGCGATGGCCGGAAAACAGGTGTTTTGGGATAGACAATTAGAAATTCTCAAAAATCTACTCCAATTTTGTTGTGGTTATTTAGAAGTATGAATCCTACGAATTTGAAGAATTTCAAATATCTTCGAGAAACCATCGTCGCATTACCAACAAGTGCCAAAACCTGCAATTTGGCTCGGTTTTCGGCCATAACTTTGTTGCTATTAGTCGCATCTTTTAACGTGTGGTCTCATTTTGTAGGTCTCATAAATACCTAAAAATCTTATATGAAGAGTTTTTTCGTTCCTGCCAACACTTTCTACTGAATCCCAAAAATACGTTTTGTCATTCTTTGTTGTCGAATAAAGTTTTCCCACAAAAATTGGTGTACCCATTTTATGCGTCCATGTTTTAAATACCCCCTTGAATAACTTGCAGCAATAAAACCGGACTTTATAAATATTTCGCAAACATAATGGGTGATTTTTTTGCTAGTATCTTTTTGGCAACACTGTTTTTGACAGATGACGCGTAAATCATGTCTTGTGTCATTGTCAAACTTGTTCAGTTTGGACTATAATTTAACCATAAATCGACTTACGAACGAACAACGCTTGCAAATGATTGAATTTTACTATCAAAATTCATGCTCGGTTAATAGAGTGCATCGAGCACTGCTTCCAATGTATGGGCAATTTGGTCGGCCTACTGAGGGAGCTATTCGGAAGCTTGTGACTAAATTTCGAACCCATTTTACATTATTGGACATTAAACCACCAACATGCAGACGTAGAGTGAGGACTGAAGAAAATATTGCGGCTGTATCCGTCAGTGTTAGTCATGACCGTAAAATGTCGATTCGCCGCCGTTCGCAGCAATTGGGCCTCTGTTACTCCACTACGTGGAAAATTTTGCAACAGGATTTGGGTGTAAACCCTTATAAGATACAGTTGGTGCAAGAATTGAAGCCACACGACCTCCCACAACGTTTCCAATTTGGTGAATGGGCGCTGGCAAAGTTGGAGGAACATCCACATTTTTATCGAAAAATTGTGTTCAGCGACGAAGCTCATTTCTGGTTGAATGGGTACGTTAACAAGCAAAATTGCCGCATCTGGAGTGAAGACCAGCCAGAAGCATTGCAAGAGCTACCAATGCATCCCGAAAAAATCACTGTTTGGTGTGGATTATGGGCCGGTGGCATCATCGGGCCCTACTTCTTCAAAGACGACAATGCCCGGAACGTAACTGTGAATGGCGAGCGCTGCCGTGCGATGATAACAAACTTTTGCCCAAAATGGAAGAGCTGGACTTGGCTGACATGTGGTTTCAACAAGACGGTGCCACATGCCACACCACACACGAAACAATGGCCCTATTGAGAGGCGAGTTCGGTGAACAGTTTATCTCACTTTTGGGGCCCGTAAATTGGCCGCCTAGATCGTGTGATTTAACGCCGTTGGACTATTTCTTGTGGGTCCATGTTAAGGATAATGTCTACAGGGATAAACCAGCAACGATTGACGCACAGGAAGTCAATATTGAAGCATTTATTCGTGAGATACCGGCCGATATGTTGGAGAGAGTGTGCCAAAATTGGACCTTGCGCATGTGCCATCTAAAGCGGAGCCGCGGCCAACATTTACATGAAATAATCTTTAAACCTTAAATTATATCAACCGTTCTATCGACTCAAATAAAGATTTAATCGTTTTTTCAAATTTTTTGTTTTTTTTTGAAAATCAAATCCTATACCTCTTATAAATCACTCGTTATTTTATAACATATTTTCGTCTAATATGATTAGACTGCTTCGTAATTTTACGTAAAGCTAAACAAATATTGGCGATCGATCTCGATTAGCCCGTGCCATGACCCCACCCCTCGACATTGCCTGCCTTCTCCCGAGGAGTTTGCCAAATAAACTTGCAAAATCAATTTCTCCACGCAATTTTCTATGAGATCAAAAAAACATCGGTGATCGATCATGATCCGCCCAGAAGGGGGGGTCATAATCCCCATAACCCCCAAATGGACCCACTCAGAACTAAATAATAGCAGTATTACCTCTCCGGTAACTGTCAATTTAGTCGCAATATATCTTTCTGAAAAGGATTGGTGCAAAAATGTCAAATCTAATATTCATTTGTTGAAAACAGCACTATTCCACACCAGATCCTTATAAAATACAAATCTACTGGTAAAACATAAACCCGTTGAGATTGACGTTAATCGTTTAAGAATAATTATCAATGTACAGAAATAAGACCAACAAGTAATTACCTGCTGCTGTCCTCCCGGATTCTTCATAAGAGAATACTCGATAACGTTGAGCACGATATCCTTGACGCTCAAAGGCGAAGCATTCTGTCTGGGCTGACCGTCATTCGTAATAGGCGTTATCGTCGCAGACCCTTGGTAATGATCCGGCGTCTGAGCTTCATCCGCCGTTTCCGTCGCCGAAGAGTCGTAGTCCACGCGCTTGTTCACCTGACTATCATTCCCACCCTATACCAAAAAAATACAGTTCAATAATGAATTTTCCAATAAAAAAACATTATCTTTCACTCTTGGTAAAGTAAGGAAGTCGTAGACAAATGGCATCCAATAAGGCGTAGTTGATGCTCATCTGTTCAGTTCAATCAACAGTCACATTTTTTAATTTGCTGCACTGACTAAGGACTAGTTTCACAATTTCCAATTATCATTATCTGACATACACTATTTACATCAAGTCAAGTCATGCATTCGTTTGCACGCCTAGTCAAAAAAATAAAAAAACACATTTTTCTTTATATCTAAGAAGGCAAAGTTTTTGTTTTTCCTAAATCTCTCAGTAAGACATGAAATTTTTAGAAGTTTCTCAATGGGACGTAAATACGCCCCAAAGAACGCAACTTATCCCTAATTCAACCTAAGCTGTATTCCCCACAGGTATTGAAATCCCCATGCCTAGGATCCTTATCTTGGTGTTAATAAAGTATGTAGACAAACTTTAACCATCGAATCCTTGGTCAATTTGAAGACTAAACGTTCATATGAACATGGGTGTGTAACGGGTTTCTTTTCGAGCTAGAGCACTATCACTAAAGAAATACGAGTAATGTTCCAAATATTTCTATGAATAATGAAACGTATTTATTGAACAGTTGGTATAACCTATGATAAATTTTGTATGTTTTACAAGTTGCTGAGGCTCAATATGAACATGAATGAAAATAGTATTATCCTGTATTTTTGGAAAAAAAAACTTATTTAGAAGGTCAATAGTTTTCAACAGTGACATTCGAATAGAACGACGACAATAGAAAATATCGAATAGTTTTTTAACAATAAATGTTCAAAGTGGCCACCTTCGACTTCATTACACGCGTCTAGTCTGTTACCCAGTATTTTGTAGTCAGAGATGACTCGACAATTCTGACTCTTAACGGGGCTCCTACAATCACGATCACCATCTGCTGAGGTAACGGGGGATGAAAAGGAAACGATTGTGGGCTGGTCTTAGACGGTGGTCGGCGCTACTTTAACAGAGGAAAGGATGACTGCGGGTAAATTTTTATAATAACAGAGTCGGATTTCGATTAGCGATCTAGCCTTTAAATCGTTTCCTATTTTGGTACTCAGCTAGTGATCATTTAGTATTGTTCTACCCTTGTTACTGTTCGTCGATATTGTGTTGTTGAATTGTTGTGTTGTACTCTTGTTGGTGTGATTGTTCTTGAGTGAATTTTTTATCAAGGTTGATAATGGACAATAAAAGGTCATATGCGACAATTTTAATTACGAATTCAGTGAGTTTAATTCATGACGAGGACAACAACAGTGTGGAGCAGTTCAACCCTTTAATCGCACATTGGGGTAAGCGAATAAATTATTGCAAGAAGAGGTCATACCATGGAAGATGTGCTGCAGCTGTAGTGAGCCACAATACCGACCGGCATGTCTATGTGGTCCAAATACATTGCGTTCTAAGCTTAGTCCAACCTCGCTTATGACTAAGATGGAACAAAGACTCAAACTCAAGAATCTTGGAAAGAAACTCAGACCAAAAAAAAATGGTATAAAAATAACTAACAATTCGGATAGCAATTCCAAAAAAAATATATAATTGTTTTATGGCGAATTCTGTCAAAAACCTGACATGAACGACATTGATTTGGAGGTTGCTAAGCAAGAATTCTTAGGGAAACTTAGAAAAAGTGACGACGAGATTTTGCATATCGAACAAGTCACCAAATCACAGGACTATGCTTTGTGGCGTCTTCATCGGAGGATAAGGTTGATAGCGTCTCGATTTGGTGAAGTTTGTAGAAGAAGACAGACAACAAGCTGTAAAGTTCTAGTAAACTCGATCATATACCCAACAGAGTTTTCTAGTAAGGCAATAAAAAAAGGCAATACAAAAATCATTGGACACGGCAGTTCAATCTTGTGGTGTACAAAAACTACTTAACTGTTTCCTCTTATTTTGACGGCATAAGATACTTTTATGACCCTCGTTCAATTTTTACCATCTACCACACGACCCTTGTAAACATAATTGTGTTTATTGACATGAATAAGCGAATTAGAATTTGAGTTCTTGAATTTATTTTAGAAGATATAAGATTATTTGAATACATTTTTTCTTAGTCAGAACGCACCGTCGCGTCGCTTGGACAGGCAGGACGAAACAGTAGATGCATTTCGCCCAAAAACCGATTTGCACTTCACAGCTTACTTTTTATTATTTCCAAATGAAACTCTTACAACGTGCTAAAACAAAGTCCACATGGTGCCAGCGATCCACTTTTTCGATTTTATCCACTAGGATCTTTTTAAAATATCAACAAGTTGAGCACAAATAGTGAGCATTTCAACCCACCATAATTCATGCGCAAAGACAAAATTTTGTAAAAAGCTCTGATAGCACCCTAGGCAATTATGGCCTGCTTATATCCAGAAAAACATCACAAGCTGCAGAACACAAAAGGTACCGACGAAATGAGGATATTTCACGGGTTATGAAATTCAAATGAAAATGCAGGTATAAAATCTACCAAATGATCGTTCTCAAAAACATATTTCCTTGACATATCGATAATTTTAAAGTTCCACGCTAAATTTCCCTATATGTACTTGACTGGAGTGATATCCGAATTTATTCCTCCCTACTGTCGGTAGTTGCAGATCTGTTGGCTGTTGGTGTCAAACCTATAGAGCAGGATTTTTGAAATCGTGAGCACATTGTTCGTCGGATTTTCGATACTTAAATTTCCTGTAATCACTGCGATCAGAAGCTACTTAGTAATAGAACGTGTTTCACTGATTTCAACCCCCCCCCTTTTTAAGCAGTACAATTTTTTATGTCAATGATTAGGAACCCCTGAAACGTCAAAAACGGAGTTTCAGCAATTGTTACTTTTACTTTTTTGCCTATAGCACCGTTGCCACTTTTCATAAAAGTCCGAGCAGTAATTTCCAAGTTGATGATAACTGATACAGTTTTTTGTGATGTAGATGTCATATGACTTGAAAAAACATAACATCTCATTTTAGAAATTTATCGCGATTACAATACTTCCTCTCCAATGATGTGGGAAGTAAAACGGCTTTAAAATCGAGGAGTATCGGTGATCGCGATTATGAGTACCTAGTTGCAGAGCGACTTATCTACGCGATATTATATGGAATAGGGCCACCAAATTATCTGAATACGTCCTTTCTTAGTCCGTACAATGCACCGCAACGCTTGGTTTGGCAGCACGAAACAGTAGACAAAATTCGTCCAAAATACGATTTGTAGAGGTTTATTTTTTGATATTTTTGGATGAAATTTTCACAGAGTGCTAAAAACAAAACCCCACAGGGTGCTATAGAGCCACTTTTTCATTTTTTTCACTAGGTTCTTTTTAAAAAATTTGAACAGAAAAAGTGCGCACCTCAACCCATCATAAAACTTGTGCAAAAACAAAATTTCAAAAAGTGCTCCTATAGCACCCTGGGCAATTATCTTCTCAATATACTGTTTGAATTTTATTAAAAAATATTGAAAAATGGAGTGTCAGTTTTGAAGCAGCTGAACCCTTGTAAATGGCTTGAAACTCACTGCGTCGGAGCCGCCTTAAGTCCTCCACGCTTTGAACAGGAGTCTTGTATACTAATGATTTCAAATGTCCCCATAAAAAGAAATCGATAGGATTCATGTCAGGCGATTTAGACGGCCATGGCCGTGGTCCGCCTCTTCATCGATTTGGATAATTATTATCCAAGTATTGCCGCGCAACGATACTGAAGTGTGGCGGAGCACCGTCATGTATGTGCCACATGCGACGTCGTTCTCTAAGAGGAATTTCCACCATTAATCCAGGTAGGTCAAATTCCAAAAATCTTCGGTACTCTTCGCCGCTCAGTCTGGGGGGAAGGAAATGAGGGCCAATCAAGTGGTCACTAACGATTCCAATAAAAATATTGAAGGAAAAGTCGTGTTGCGTATTATGTTCAATTATGGCACGGGGATTTCCTTCACACCATACATGGTTATTATGGATATTTATTATTGCTGTTCGCGAAAAACATGCTTCATCCCTGAATAGTATTCGAATTAAAACAAGTTTATTTAATGTTACTTTTCCTGCAACATGTGTGGATCTCTTGAAACTGCCTGTTTCACATAGTCGAGCGAGTATGTTGATGAAAGTTTGTACATTAGGCGTTGTGGAAATCGATCACCATACAAACGTCGTGCTCGCCGAGCGTTACCCAGAGTCATTCCGTAAGCGAAATGCACATCTGTCATTTCTTGATTACTGAACTGGACCATTATGACAAATAGTAATCACCAAACTCAGAAATATTTGGAGTCTTAGAATGACCAGTCAAGAAAACAAATATTTGACAGCTGTTGAATTATTTGAGAAAATAAGTTGATTCAATTGCTTTCGGGTAAGTCATAGGTGTCCAGATAAGCACAATGCTTAAATATTAAAAGTATTGTGATCAAAACAAATCAATGTCATGCTACTTTTTCAAAAAATACTGGATCGCATTATCCGTATCTACGTACATGGAGGGTCTGAAAACAGCTGTAAATCATGTGATATTCACCATAGGGCATACTTAATTAAAATAAAATGCGTTCCATTCTTTTATAATTTTTTAGAACAATATCATTTCTTTTAATGCTAATATGCTCTAGCTTGAAAACAAAGCCGTTGCGGACCCATGTTCATATGGAAATTTCGTCTTCAAATTGACCAAGGATTCGATGGTAAAAGTTTGTCTACATACTTTATTAACACCCTGTATGTATGTCGCAAATGGAGGTAACTGGAGGTTACCCTTAACTAAAGACTATCAAACTGATTCCAATCTACAAAGCTGGTCGAGGTTCCTTTTCTTATTTCAAAAGAAGACGATATTTCTAGAGGATCTGTTTCGAGTATCGTACCTGTACAGGAGGGCTTTCAGCTGCACTGGCAGTATCACTAGAATGTCTATCACCATCTAAAAGAGACTCCTCGCAACTAGAAGTGCTGGAGCCGCTCTCTTCGTCCGTAGATAAAGCTGGCTTTCTATCTTCTCCTAAGCATCCTTTCAGTCGTTTGCGATTCGCCGCACAGAATATTTTTACCTGGAATAAATAAATAATTTCAAGACCTACCTCAAAGCTACGTTTAATATGATCTAAAAATAATAACTACACTACACATATACAAACCGTACACACTAATACTGTTTGTATCGATTTAAACTGCGCAAATACGATACTGCCATGACAGCAACTATATTTTAAAAATGGCGGAAGTAGTACCGAAGTTGATAAAACTGTATGGAAACAGTGTTTTTTCCTTAAAAACGCCTCATTTTATCTATAACAACAGTATATTTTTCAGCGATACACGGTGAAAAATAATAGCAATAAAGTCTTGGGGCTAGTCCGTCCCTGCGATCCGATAAGTTGATTTTCTGTGACCCCATTTGGTCTAGTCAAAATTTCATAAGAGCAGCCCCGTATCACATTTTTATTGGTACTTTTGGCGTTTTTGTGTTCTACATTAGAGAGACTGCCTTCTTATGCTGGGACACCCTGTATACGAATGATCACACTCGTACGCATTCCCTTTCTCCTGTCGAGTTGGTCAAATATGAAATTTTTTAACAGTTTGACACTACAGTTGAAAAAATGTACTACAAGTTCGACGCTGTTATTCAAGAAAATGTAATTTCAAGTGGTATCTTTTAGAAGAATGTACCTCATAACAGAAGAAAATGACAAACCTTCATCGGTGGTTTATTGAGCCTCTCGCCCAACGCCTGCCAGTTGGTGCCCAGTTCGCTGAGCGCCACCTTGAGCTTGTTGACCTCATCGTCAGGCCAGTCCTCGGCAGGTCCTAACCGCCTCTGGATCCTGTTGAAACAGGCAGAACAGCACTTTGTGACACCGCTAGGAATACGAAACTCGGCAAGGAGGGGCTCTCGCACGTCCGAAGGCAGGTCTTGCAGTCTATATGGGAAGGAACGCAGTCGTTTGACTCGACCTCGATTGTTGGGACAGCTTGGTAGCGGACATTGGGTATACCTGGAAAACAATACATTAATATTAGTGCAGTGGAATCCACTTATAATGAACTTGCTTATAATGGAAACCCGTATATAAAGGACACAATATATATAAATAATTGCATATAAAATCCTCGGATATTATAGACTCGCTTAAAATAGACCCTCAGGCAAATATATTTGCTCGTATAGCTATAAAAAAATCCATTGTGTCAAATATTTGTAAAAACCGTGACAAAATTAAAAATGACTGGAAATCAAATAGTCAAAAGAAAATAATGCGGCTATCGCTGCATCCCTAAGTCGATGATATGCTATTTAAATGGTTTCAATAAAAGCGTGCTAATAATTTTCCAATAAGTGACCCTATGCTACAAATGAAGGCTGACGAATTTGGGAAATTGGTTGGAGATTACTTCAAATGTAGTTCCGGTTGGCTAGACAGGTTTAAGAAAAGACATAACATTGTTTTTGGAAAAACGTGTGGTGAGTCAGCTTCAGTTGACAAGAACGTTACCAATGACTGGATTTCTCAAGTTTGGCCCGAAATATTCAGTGATTATTCAGATGATAACATATTCAATGCAGATGAAACCGGGATATTTTATACGACTACCAGATAAATTAAAAGGTGAAACTTGCAATGGAGGAAACTATCAAAAGATCGAATAACTGTTATGATTTGTCCTAATGCTTCTGGTAATGAAAAACGGAAACTATTGATAATACGAGTAGGTAAGCGAATGAATAGAAATTCATGTTCTAATTTTTTTGATATTCAATGGCAGTGCTGCAAAGAATTTGTGACCTTTTTTTATTTCAGGGAAATTTAAGAATCCCAGGTGTTTGAAAAATTTTAAAACAATTCGCGTCGATTATGTTGGATAGCTTGGATGACTTCATCAATTTTTGAAGAAAATTTTAAAAAAATGGGACGCTGAACTTGTTAAAAAAAATCGTAAAATTTTGCTCTTCATTGATAACTGCCCCGCTCATTGAAATATTTCACTTAATAACATCAATCTTCAATTTTTTCCACCCAATGTGACATCAGTTCAAGGGACCAGGGTGTTATTTGAAGTCTTAAACAAATGTATCGGAAACATATATTGATGAAAATTATGGAGCTTCAAGAATATGTCAACGTTAACAAAGCTGTCACCATTTTAGATGCTATAAATTTGCTTACTATTGCATGAGTATTGGTTACTCCAGAAACGATTCGTAATTGTTTTCGCCATGCTGGTTTATTGAGAAACATAACTGAAATAGTCAACAATTTTAATCCAGAAGATGAGATTCCATTAAGTGATTTACTGAAAATTAATAGTTTACTGAATATAGACAAATTTAATGAGTATGTAAATGTTGACAATAATTTCATAGCAACACGGGAATTGTCTGACTTCAATTTGGTTAAAGAAGGATCCGTTGATAACGAACAGGAAGACTAACTAGAAAACAACGAAGAAGAAGAGCTTCCAGTGACAACTAAGGAGGCATTAGTCTGAGTGAAAAAGTTACAACGTTATTTTTAGCAAGAAGAAGACAGTACAGCCACACTTACCAAATTAAATAAAATTCAACTTGCTGCTCTAAATAATTATACAAAAAAACAATTTGTTTAAAAGAAAATTACTAGCTTTTTTACCAAATAATTTACGGTTTTTACACATATCTACACAGTACGTATGCCTGTTATGTGTGTCAGATTCTGAAAAAATGCAAATTTCATAATTACGTATAACTTTTTTGTATGTATCTTTATTTATGTAATGCATGTTAAACAAACACATTTTAAGCTTTTAATATGTGATTTCTGCTGCTTTTTTCATTAAAAAGAAGTGTTTCTTTTAGGGTGGTCATCAGCCTATAATAGACTATTTGTCACAGTCTCGCCGAGTCCATTATAAGCGGGTTGCACTGTATTAGTATTATTCTTGTATTTTCTAGATGTTTATAAAGAAACAAGAGCATTACAGTTGTCTTTTTATGTCTGTATCTAAAACAGTACTATCAGGGCAGGCTTAGAGTACTGTTTAGATGCTTCAGGAAAATAATGATGAAACTGATATAACCTATTACTTGCGATTGAAAAATGTACTAACCTTGATCGCATGGACTTGCATCTGCAGGTGTTACACACTCTGGCGTTCACAGATATCTGGTCTTCCCGAAGTCCATATTGAGCCGCTTGGCTTACTGTTAGAGGCCTAGAGTGTAACTGGGGACCCACTTGCGATTGACACACGACACATGTACCCACGATACTACTATCTAAAACAACAGAAAAGACATACGTTAGAACACAGTTGCTTTGTATAAAACAAGATGTATTTTATTCCACTACAAAATTTAAGAGTTATGATGAAAACCTAAGCATACATTACAGAAGGAATCCACGCTTATTTTGTGTTATTATCTCGCCAAACAGAAACGTTATTGCGATATTTATGCACAATTGCAGGGAATTCAGCATAAAAACGAAAACAAAAATGTATGTCTTAGTAACCGTAGTGCTTTGTGTTTTCACTAAAAAACACAAAAAAAAATGTCGGTTCATCTACCGAACACACTGTATAGCAAATATCTTGCAATGATTTTTGGAAAATATTGCTAAATTGTACCGTCACACAATGTAGTTTTTAAATTATATTTAAACATGTTGAAATTTTGGATCATCCAAGGACTCCACCAGATGTGAAAATACCGAGAACAAAACTTTAGGGAAATAACTGTCAAAACATATAATAATTTTCAATTAATATATGGATAGCGGTGAAAGCTTGCTCAAACACAACCGAAAATTTAGCTGAGCTACGAGGCCAGAATAACTGAAGCAGCTGAATTTGTTAATAACCGGCACAGGTATTACGTATCTTGAAAAGTGACATTTTGTCATTTTTTGTGACATTATGTAGGTTTTTCTACAAGGTGTTAACTTAGCACTAGCTGATGGACACGTTGTGAACTCGTTTAGAAGTTGTACGTGTTGCCTAAAAGTCATGATGCTTCAGTTATCAATGTTTGGCTCTGATGTGATGTAAAATCTGCTTCAGAGATGGTATTACTGGAGGTAACGGCATACGCATATAGACATAATTACGAAAGATGACTATTACGTCACACCCTAAATTGTGCTGAAGTAATCAATAGACGTACGTCGATGATAAAATCACGATGTCACTAACATAATGACAACAATTATATTATGATTTTGCGAAGTTAGGTTAATTCACTGATTATTTTTATTTTCATTTTATTTCATGGTTTTGAGTACATTAATAATAATTTTAGTTGGGAGTTTTTGTTTCGAAAAAAAAAAACAGTTATGAGTAGAATGCCTTAAGACAGGAACACCAAAGTGCAAATTATTATTCAAAAACAAAATATCCTGCTTTAACATAACCTAACTATTCATCTTTCAAATATGATTGATCATGCAATATGAAAACATCGTCTATCTTTGTCGGATACATGCAAATTAGCAATACAGTTTGTTTAGACAATAAAATTCTGTTTGTCTCTGTCTAACATATCAGAAACTTCATTAAATATATTCAAAACTGGCTGTCGTTTGTCTCTACTACAGACTAAAATGATGAGGTAATCGTCATCTTTCGTGATTTCGACTATAGGTTCATAGCAGAGATAGTTCATAGTGAGGATTTGTGTGCTAATAATATGTATGTGTTGATGATAATTCCATTGGATTTTTGTCTCGAATACACTTACTTGAGATTCAAAGCTAGAAATTAGTTGCGCATCCACTTTTTCTTATCCATTCTGGAAATTACATATGCTAATTTGCTGAATTTCAAAAATGAGGGAGATAAGAAATAATTGTATTCACTGTACACTGTCGAATTACAAGTCATATACATGCTAACAGAAATTACAGCCAACGCGGGTGCGGATGTGATTTGCCGTAATTCTTCTCAAAGAAACAACAAAAAACGTATCGTAATTTATAACTTTGAACATAACCTGTCTTCAGAAAGTACAACATATAAAAAAACCGTAGGGACAGCTAATAGATATACTTCATTGGCAACATATTTAGTAATGATTTTCTCACAAAGCAAATATCACTGATTTTATACACATGCAGACCAATACACATAATCATCCAGATGCGATGTTGCTATTCAACCAAGTTTCTTCTCAGAGATGAAAAGTACAGACTACTCGGCTTCACAAAACGCATGCTACCAATGTGTGTAGTTGAGTCATTAATCCACAGATGGATGCTCACAACGATCCTAGTGAGCAAAAAACTACCTAGTCTGCAAGATGACATTTTATAGGTTTTTTTGACGATTTGTAGGTTTTTTACATAATACCCGTGCGGAGCATTTTTAAGAAGATGTCAAGCTTGCATTGCTGCTGAACGAAGGCAGTTTGAACATTTATTGTGAATTTAATAAATACATTCATAAATTACTAAAAGTGGCGTTACTATCTGTCTTGCTATCAGTATGAAGGATGACACTCTCCGTCACTCCGTCTAAAAAAAATCAAAATTTGTTGTAATGGTAACTAAGAGATCATCACAGTGTGCAGATGTTTCCGTTTTTTGAAGCTTATAATTCGAAAAGTACATGACAGATTTCTTTATATTTTTCTGATAACAATTATCACTTGGCATATCCCCCGTTTCCGGCTTGACGTCGACTTCTGGGATACTGTGTATAAAAACACTACAAACAGAGCTAAGCAATGGCACAAACACAATTGAACAAAATTGTGGTATCACTACACATGAACACATATTATGTACTGTCCCGAAAGCTCATAAACCAATAAACGGAATCAAATATTATTTGTCTAGTATCACAGCTTACACAACGTTAAAAATGTATGATCGCCAACCAATCAGTTAGATTAAATATAGAGAGAGTAGGCAGAGCAAAACCTTATTGTAAGCACTGAGTGGTGGTTTGGCTTTATTTGTGCAAGCAGCTCCCTCTTATTAATGAAATAAAGTACTGTGCAAACAGAGGCAATTCATTTGGAAAAAAGTAGCTTTAGGCGCATTTCATTTCGGTTAAGAGATACAACAGTCAGTTGGTTCGGTAGGTATAACGTAATATACAGGGTAGTTCATCCATGTGTGGACGGAATATTACTCATAAACAAATACATTTTGGGAAAATCTATTTATGGGATGTTATACATGACATTTGAGGGCACATTTCTAATATATTGGCAATTATGCAGGGTGTCCCAGTTTTGACCTAAATATCAAAGTTGTGATTTTTTAAATGAAATCCCTCAAATTTTATTGCATAACTGGATAAACCAATTCAAAAGAAGAAGATAGATATAACTTACTATGGGGTTTTGGTAATTAGCTACTGAGATGTAAGGTGTTTTGTCCAGAAAAGCCGTCCACTTCGGCAACCCCTCAGACCGCCTTTTTGAAATTTGGTGTGCTGAATTTTGTATAAAAAAAAACTTACACACCTCAGCTTTTATCTTTTTGTTACTTTTTCGAATTTTTCATTTTTGCTCATACAGGGTGGTCAAAAACGCGAATTGTAATTTTTCTCAAAAATTTAAATTGCATCACCCTATATATTTGCGCAAGTTTGGATTCGATTTTTTTTGTAAGTTTTTTTTTTGGTATGAGGTTTGATTCAGATAAAATCAATAGATTTTGAGTTATTGAGATTTTAATAGAACAACACACCAAAATTTAGGAAAAAAATCACTTCATCCATGGGAACAGAAAACAAACAGTGGGGTAGTTCCATATTGCCACTAAGAGATTTTACGTAAACACTAATAACAATCATAACAGTATAAATCAGCTTCAAGCGTAATAGAGAAAAACAACTATAACAACAACATAAACAAACAACTATCACTTCTCAAGACCTAATCTACAAAAACTGCTCGAAAATATCTCCACCATGTTGAATACACAGCCGTAGTCTTTGGATAAATGACCGTTGCATATAACTCAGCATGTATTCCCTTATGTTCAGAAAACCATCCTGAATCCCTTCCTTCATATTTTCCGGGGTAGATGGTGGATATCTATAAACTTAACGTAGCCCCATAGGAAGAAGTCCATCGGTGCCATATTTGGTGATCTAGGAGGCCAAGGTATAGGCCCATCACGATGGATCCAACGGTTGTTACTCCAGGTGTCGAAATAGTTACGCACAGGATTATGATAATGCGCAAGTGCGCCGTCATGTTGGAAGTACATATGCATCCGAGTTTCCAGGTTGACATCCTACACATGATCGATCAAAAAATTCAAGTATTCTGCCTCATCGCTAAAAAGAACCTTATCCAGGAAAGTAGTGTCTTCACTCACTTTATTTAGCATTATTCTACTAAACTCCATTCGAGCTCCGAAATCCTGAGGACGAAGGCCTTGATGCAAGCATAGGTGATATGGATGGTACCTATGCTTGTGAATAATCCTCTGGACAGGAGTTCTGCATATTATATCAGTTTCTGCTCGAATTTGCCGTGCACTTAAATGGGGATTTTCCTGCAACTTTAACTGAACCTCCAACTAATTCGGCTCATTGGTGACACTTGGATTATTTATACATTTTTTACTATATTCCACTGCTCCACTTGATTCAAAACGTTCTCGTAGTGTAGAAAATGTTTCCGGCCTTGGATGTCGCAAATTAGGGTACCGTTGCTCATAAATGCGAGATGCTAGGAAACTATTTCTTTGGCTGCGCCCAAAACGAACACCATATTCACCGTTTCTTCCTTAGAAAAATTCATTTTCAAACACGTTTTTATTATAATGAGGATGGTGCGATATTTTAGGGAATTAAGCCGTTCCATAAAAGACGTGCTAATAACCGAAAAAATAGTCGTAAAAACCCTTGTGTCTAGCATCAAACAAAGCTTATAAAAAATTGAATCCAAACTTGCACAAATATAGAGGGTGATGCATTTGAAATTTCTGAGAAAAACTACAATTTGCGTTTTTGACCACCCTGTATAAGCAAAAATTAAAATTCGAAAAAGTAACAAATAAGATAAAAGCTGAGGTGTGTAAGTTTTTTTTATACAAAAATCAGTACCCCAAATTTCAAAATAGCGGACTGAGAGGTTGTCGAAGTGGCGAGTTTTTCTAGACAAAACACCTTATATCTCAGTAGCTAATTACCAAAACCCCATAGCATGTTATATCAATTTTCTTCTTTTGAATTGGTTTATCCAAATATGCAATAAAATTTGAGGCATTCCATTTGAAAAATCACAACTTTGATATGTAGGTTGAAATTTTTAAGTTTAACAGCCAATATTTTAGAAATGTGCCCTGAAATGTCATGCATAACACCACATAAATAGATTGTCCCAAAATGTATGTGTTTATGAGTAATATTCCGTCCACACATGGATGGGCCACCCTGTATACAAAGAGCTGGATATGCAAACATACTCAAAAATGTATATAACATACTTTATTCGGAAGCTGACATGAGAGAGAATATTAGATTTACTTCTCGGATCGTATCACCCATTACAAAATTATCAAGTTTAATAATTCAAGATGAGATAAGCTTTCAAATTTGGTTTAGCGTCAACTGAGTAATCTCATTTATATGGTGCACACATTCATGCGAAGATAAGAGACCACTGGAATAGAACATAAAAAGGCCCGAATAAAAAAAATGGCGCACAAGAAATATTATAGTTGGTTGTTTTTAATATATGCTCAAAATTAGGTACAGTGTATTTAAAAAGCGCGAGTATATTTTCTCGGTACCTTTCATATTTTTATGGTGGTTAAAATGATGAAAAAGTTTCTAAATACCGAGAGTTATTATAAGTTGTCTACCACACCTACAGCATACCGCGGTAGGGTATAATTATACATTTTGTAGCTCCTGTACCTACGGTAAAGATATTGGGTTCAATGATGCTTTTGTTCGGGGTATCAACATCATATTTTATCCAAACATAGAAATATCACAGTCATAGAGATTTTATTTCATCTCTCTCATCTCGTACTATACTCGGGTATTACAACAGCATAACACATCGGACGCCACTGCGAAAAGCAGAAGCCTCGCGGGTTATTCTTCAAGCCTGAAGCGTGGGGCCATCGTGGAGATAAGCTTGAGGGATGAGTATAGAATATAAAAGCGTATCCTATTTTTACGGGTTGGCTGACTGTACTTATGCAGTTCAAACGTATCGAATCGATCCACAGTCGCGCAAATCCAGCAAATTGGAGTTAATTGTTCCGTGATGTTTGGCAGTGATTAACGATTTTTGATTCGTAATCACGAAATATCCATCGCACACATGTGTACGAAGATTTCCCCTAGGGATGGAGGATCTGCCGATTGCAGAGCTGAGGTCGATGGTCGAAATTCATTTAGCTTTGCTGGACAATATACAGCGATGGCGCTAATATCGTCAACGGGGACTGTCGCTCATTGGATGTTCGATGCGCGATGCCATGTCACATTTGCGGTTATCGGATTTGAAACCGACACCGCTCTGCTGAGGGATTCATATGGCACTAGCAAAATTATGTGGATTGCGTACTGTTTGTTCAACTTTTTTGAGTATCCGAATGTGTAGGGCAACTCAACAATTGTTCCGGTTGGCGAAACAGGGGATGACATTTCGAATGTAAAGGCTAGCATAGACAGTCATAAAAAACCTACAAAATGTCAAAAAAACCTATAAGATGTCACCTTGCAGACTAGGTAGTTTTTAGGGCGCAAATAGTCATTCCACGTTTGCTCACCAGGATCGTTGAGAACGTCCATCTATGGAGGAATCACTCATTTACACTACACGCATTATTGGTTGCATAGTTTTGTGAGGCTGGGTGATCCGTGTCTGTAGTTTTTATCTCTGAGAAGAAAGTTGGTTGAATAGCAAGATCGCATCTGGATGATTATGTGTATTGATCTGCATGGATGTAAAATCAGTGATATTTGCTGTGTGAGAAAACTGAATATGCTGAATATGACGGGTTATTTATATGTTGTGCTTTCTGAAGAAAGGTTATGCTCAAAGTTATAAATTACGAAAAACTGAGGAGAATTACGGGAAATCATCACCGCGCCCGCGTTGTGTGTCACTACTGTTAGCATGTATATGGCCTTGTACTTCGACAGTGTACAGTGAATATAGTTATTTCTGATCTCTCTCATTTTTGAAATTCAGCAAATTTGTGTATGTAATTTCCAGAACGTATAAGGGAAAGTGGCTGGGCAACTAATTTCTTGCTTTGAATCTCGATTAAGTGTATTTGAGACAAGAATCCAATGGAATTATATTAACACATACCACTTACAGCTTAGTCCACCAGTAATGCCATCTCTGCAGCAGATTTTACATACCATCAGAGCCAAACATTGATAACTAAAGCCTCATGACGTTTAGGCAACACGTACAACTAAGTGCTAAGTCAACGTCTTGGCGAAAAACCTACATAATGTCAAAAAAAACAGCATAATGTCAAAAAAAATCGGCATAACGTCACTTTTCAAGGTACGTGATACCCGTGCAGCACGGGTATTTTTTTAAATTAGGCTGTTTTTTTTTTTGGCATTATGTAGATTTTTCTACAAGATGTTAACTCAGCACTTAGTTGTACGTGTTGCCTAAACATCATAAGGCTTCAGTTATCAATGTTTGGCTCTGATGTGATGTAAAATCTGCTTCCGAGATGGCATTACTGGAGGCCTAAGCTGTAAGTTGTATGTGTTGATGATAATTCCATTGGATTCTTATCTCAAATACACTTACTTGAGATTCAAAGCTAGAAATTAGTTGCGCATCCACTTTTTCTTGTCCATCCTAGAAATTACATATGCAAATTTGCTGAATATAAA